CATTTGTTCTGAGAGGATCAGTTTCCTGTGACTCAGAGTTGACTCAGTAAGAGTGAATCAGATTTGAAAAATGGCGGGGGTTTGTTAAATAGTTTCTGTGCTCCACTTCCTTCCTCAAGCTTCATTCAGAAATATAAATGTTCGCTCTCTTCCACTCTCTGTCCGCGTGCCAGCCCAACGTGTGTGTGTGTGTGTGTCGTGTGTGTGTGTGTGTGTGTGTGTGCGAATGAATGTTCAAGTGACCGTGACTCAGACTAGAGTAGCCTACCGAAACACACACACAGAACTGGGGATGTGGTTCTGCGTCCGTTTGTGATCAACACCGAGTCCAAACATAAACAAAGAATATATGTGGTGTAAGTAATCGATTATGGAAAAGCAAAATAGGAAAAGCGGTCCAACTTTCTTAAAGGAACAGTTCACTCCCAGTATGGGAGCTTGTTTCCGCCACAGAATAAAAAAGACTTTCGAGCTAAAAGAAAATCTTGCAATTCCGAGTTTACATCTTGCAATTCTGACTTATTTTCTCCGAATTGCGTGATAAAGTCACAATTGTGAATTTTAAAGTCAGAGTTGCGCGAGATATGAACTCATAATTTAACTTTTTTTTTCTTCCGAATTGAACTTTATAACTCGCAATTGCGAGTTTATCTCACAATTCTGAGACAAGAAATCAGAATTGCGAGTTATAAAGTCAGAATTGTGAGAAGTCGAAATTATCTTTTAAAATGTTTTATTCTGTGGCGGAAACAATAAGCTTGCATACATAGCCTATATGACGATCTTTTGCAGAATATTCGGGTGGATCTCAACAAAATAATTTCTGACTGTGGTCATCAAGCTCCAAAAATGACTAAATGTGGTTTTTACACGTGGTCCATATTTCAAGTCTTTTGAAAACACACAGCACTAGTTCTTGCAGGTTCTAATAAAATTGTGGAGAGCAGGAAAAAAACAGTTCACAATGCAAGTAAAATGCAACTATTCACACATGTATGCATAGCAACAATAGATGTGTTTATTGGATTTCTAAAATCTATCTATCTATCTATCTATCTATCTATCTATCTATCTATCTATCTATCTATCTATCTATCTATATCCACACATGTGTGTGCGAAACTACAGTTCCTTCAAAAGCATGATTATGTACATTTTGCTATGTTGTAAAAGACAATTATGTGACTTTTTCCAGTTATTTTAAAAACAAATATCTGAATTATTTCACTTCCCTGTACGGGAAGTCACACTTCACACTGTCCTCTATAAATAAATATCTAGTGTCCTCAAAACACTATGTATATAAAGAGTGTTTGTAATAACCTTTTATAGCTTCGAAGTGTAGAAGCAAACACACTGTTGTTTTTCTAATCAGATCCCTAACCATTTTTGTGTTTTTATTTTATTTTCACTGTATTTTTTTATTATTTTTTTTTATAGTTTTCCATATTTTTAAAGGTCATATTAATTCAGTTACCTTTACCTTGCTTTTTTTTTTTTTTATAGAAGGCAAAGTCCCTTTAAGTAATGCAAGAGTGTGAACATTGACCATGAGTTGACCGTGCATGTGTGTGTGTGTGAGTGGGGTGTGGAAAGGGAAGGAAGTGCATGGAGAACATAAGAGAGTCGTGCCAGCAGAGCACATGCTGAGCAGAAAAAAGCATTACAGCTGTTCATTCATACACTCCTTCTCCTGCCCATCACCCGAGGAGTGGACATGACAAATAGCCTGAGCGCCAGTGAAAAACAGCCTCGAACAAGTTTATCTTCGGTTAGACAGGAAGTTGATGGCAAACAGCGTACATGTTTTGTCTCTTTGTCATCGAGACATTCCACACACACACACACACACAAAAAACTGCTCCTTTTAAGTGCACACTGAAAAATATCTCCAATAATTTGATTAGTGAATACACACTGACTCACAATGACTCGTCTGTAAACAGCATGAATGGGGGAATTAGTCATGTTATTTGCATGGTATAGCCTGTGAGTGGCATGGGTTTGCATTTTAAAGATGTCTCTGTGGACCAAATGGCCCATTGTGAAAACGCAGGTAAGTAAATAGTGGCAGAGTCTGTGCTAAACGGTGCTGTGCTTTTACTGGTATTTGCAACACAATGTGTGTATTGAGCTAAGCAGGGGTGCCGGACGCTGCAGCATCACACCTCGCTTTGTCTTGTAAATAAAGACAGTTTAGCTACACCTACAGCCTTCAACAGGAAAAGACCAGCCGTTCACAAGTCAAAGGACTTTATCTTCTCTTTTTAATGCATGCAATGATGTTTGCTATATCAGATCAGCTATTTAATCATTTTGAAAATGCTGTTTTTATGCAGGTCAGGAGCTAAATATAACACATTGTTGTTGAGATATTATGTCACCCTTTGACTGAATCTGCAACTTTCAAGAAGATTGTATGGCTTTGAACAAATCGGCGTGTGATGAGATACTGCACTTCGAGAAACATCTCCTCTTGTTCGAGGGATGAAGATGAACAACAGATGTCCGTCTGTGCGCCGGTGGATGGGTGTGGGTTCATTTAACTCTATTAAATCTACTAAAAGTGTGGTTTTAAGTAGTTCACTAGCATATGTGTGTAATGTTGGTCTTTATCATGAATATCTTTTATATTATCGCTATTTATCATCAATGAATATAAATGACTTCATATTGTTTCTTAGAATTAAAGGGATAGTTCACTCAAAAATTTAAGTTTTCACACAGACACTCACACACTCTCTCTCTCTCTCTCAAGTTGGAATCAAGATTATTCAACAAAACTTTATGAAACCAATTCAACAAAGGCATCAGTAAACTATAGAGAAACTGTATTAATACACATTTGAGTGATTCTGAGAACGTAAAGTTGATAAGAAATTGAACAAATCAAATTGCCTCTGTAGAAAATTATTCAACCCCCAAAAGTCCATTTTTGTGCAAAATCTTTTATTCGTAACCTCCAACACCCGCTGAAGTGCTTAAAGCTTCTGTCCCGTCTCTACATCCCAGTCCTCGCCTGAAGAAGCTTCCAGGTCTCGGATAATCTTAGGTTTTCACACTACCACTGCTTTCTTAAAATCCCAACAAATATTTTCAATGAGATTTGAATCTGAAGATTGTGCAGGCCACCCAGATCATTCACGAGTGACCCTGAACCAAGCTTCAGTATATGGGATGGGGTGTTTGTGCAGTGACCATCAAGCTCCGCTCCAAAGGCATCTCCATCTTTGCCAAAGTTGATACTTCACAGAACTCATGATGTCCTTCATACAGCCAAGATTTCCACTTCCAGCAAAGCACCACAGCAGGACTGGACCTCCTCCGGGTTTGACCATAAAGATGACTCCATAAAACACTCTTCCAGATCTCCACAGGTCTTCCCAAATCAATTTCAGCAGATTCAATCGGCCCTTCTAGGTCAATTCGGCAAGACTTCCCAACATAGAGTCAGTATCTCTTACTCTGCATTGAGATGTTTCTTCCTCCTTTCATCGGCTCATCTTATTTCCCTTAATGATATTGTGTTTTTTCTTCCACACCCACAAGTGTTTTCTGGTACCACACATTTTAGACGTATGAATAAGGCTGTGTCTCTTTTAGGATTTTGGAAATCACCTTGTAGACTTTCTAATGTAATAGAACAATTTGTTCTCTGTACTATAGCATTTGTGAGAGCTCTTTTGACTTGGCCATATTTGCTTCTCAACTTTGGCACATGCACAGGATAAATGTATGTTTGTTTAAACAGCACAAGCTAATTTGGAAAAGTTTCCAAAGGCTTAAAGGGATACTCCACCCCAAAATCATCATTTACTCACCCTCAAGTTGTTGCAAACCTGTATGAGTGTCTTTCTTCAAATATATTTTGAAGAACGATTGGAACGGTTGTTTGGCACCATTGACTTCCATAGTAGGGGAAAAAAATACTATGGAAGTCAATCGTGACAAAGTTCGAATCGCTCTTCAAAATATCTTCCTTTGTGTTCAGCAGAAGAAAGACACTCATACAGGTTTGCAACAACTTGAGGGTGAGTAAATGATGACAGAATTTCATTTTTGGGTGGAGTATCCCTTTAATTTAACACAATTTTGTACCATACCATACACATAAGTAATTAAAAAACAGCACCGTTGAATAACCTGTAAATCAAGTCAAGTCAACTTTATATAGTCCTTTTTACAATTGTTTCAAAGCAGCTTTAACCGGGAAATAAAGCAACAAAGTTTGTTTCAGCAGAAAATAGCGTCAGAGTCCAGCTTAAGTAAGTTCAGTGATGGTTCATTCTTGTCATAAAAAAGTTATTAATTTAGTTCATAAATATATCTACGCTCTGGAGAAAACAGTGATGTCATCGTCCAGCTCAGTTCAGTTCTCATATAATGGTGTCAATGCAGACAGATGTAATATTGTTGAATATTATATAGTTGTAAATCCTATAACTCAAAAAGCATTGACATTATCACTTTTATTTTCCCCTAAACCGTTATAGATGCACTTAAAATAACAACAACAACAACAAAAACTGTATTTTCAGAAAAGCTTACTAGCCTACATTTGTAAATTATTAGCCTACAGTCTCCTGGGGGGTTAAATAATTGTGATTGCAAATATGTATATAAAATGCCCATTAATACATAAATACAAAATTCAACAGATCTCATGGGAGATTTTAATATATAATTTAAAGATCTCGAAAAAAGTCTTAACCCGGTGTAAGTGTGTACATTTTTGCTTGCGAAACCCCCTTAAAATTGTGTTGATAAGGGTAACAATCTTTTTTTTACAGTCTATGGTAAAAATACATTTAAAACCCTTCTTTAAAAAAAAAAAAAAAAACTCGGTAACAACAAAAAACTGTACCAACATTACAAACGCAAACGGTTGGTCAAGACAATCTCCGTGTTGCTCGTGTCTGGCGCGCCGCTATCGTGATTGGCTGCGCAGTGCCACCAGAGCATCTGATTGGTTCCTGATCATTTAAACGCGTGTCCTCCTCCCGCTGGCCCCGCCCCCGCTGGTCCGCGTCCCGTTGGAAGACCCCGTGAAATGCCCCTGAAACTCCCGAAGGCGATTGTTGTGTTTCATTCATTCGCAGCTCGCAGACCGCGCTGGTTTACACGCTTTGGACTTCCTCCCGACCGCTCATTTTAAAAGGGTACGTTTTAAATATCTCTTATTCATTTTTAAAGCTGTCTTTAGTATTATTACATCTCTGCAAAACAGAAACACGAAAACAGGAATAAGGTGTTTAGTTTCAAAGGCTTTTTTTATAAGGATTAACAAACACTAAGCAGATTGGCGGGCTCGCGTGGCGCGTTTTTCGTCGTGTTTTATTACCTATGAGAATCTGTAGATATACACTCTCTCCGTCTACATTATTCCCAAAGAAACTTTATATACAGCAAATATTTAATTTCTTTAAAAGTGTCATTTTGTAGGGGGGTTTGAAACAAAAGGCAAAAATAGTTTGTTTTAAATCGTTTTAAACAAAGATCTGGTGTTATAACTCGTCATTGTTTGTCATTTACAACATTTCAGTCGATTAAAGCCCTTCGCAGTGTAAACAACAGAATCGTGTTTTCACGCGCTCGGGGATTTAAAAGGGCGCGAACGTCGCGCTGTGTGTTCGTGTTCCGGTTTGCGCTGGAACTGCGGGGTATCCGTAGGAACCGCCGTTCGCCTTTTAGCTTTCTGTTTTAAAGCTCCGCCGCAGCACAGCCAGCCTCCGACGGGTTTCACTTCTGCCGGTTAAAGGTATTGAAATCCGACGGTTTAAACGCACACGTCGTGATTAAAATATATTTGCTTATAACCGACATTGTTAGGAACAACTCGCGCGAGCTCAGGCCTAGCGCGTGTTGTAAACAAACGAGAAGCCGGTCGTTCTGCACGGTTTCATTACACGCACTGTAAAGTTAATGTATAACGTTACTCTATTTTTTTAGTGTCTACTAAATGTACGCGTTATGTTTTTAAAGTTTCTGTTGTTTCACCAGTTATCAGCAGTGTGTGCTAGTGCTAATCCACCGACTCTCTTTTCCCCCATGCAGTTTCTCCAGTAAGACGAAATGAGTGATTCCGGCAAGGACACAGTGGCTCCTAAAGAGAAAGATGGAGCAGAGAAAAGAGGACGTGGAAGACCACGAAAACACCCACAGGTATTGCAGTGCTTCCAGGGGGCGTTTTAGATAGATGTGTAAATAATGGGATGGTATATTTCATATCGGTGAGATGAAAACCCTGCCCTTGTTTAGTATTTTAGTTTAAAATGATACCAGAATGGGGGGTGTTTTTACTTTTTGACGTCTGGACTGAGGAAATCTGAACCCACATTTGTTTAACGCAGAAAAGCACTTATCTTTGTTTTGGTGCATTTACAACCCAATGGCACACGCTCCCCATGTGCAGTGGTCATCTGTAGTGGCAGGACGACCAGGGCCTGTAACATGATCTCTTTAAACCAGCAGTAACCCATTTACTGTTTCAGCTGCTCACTGATTGGCTGTTGGGAAATGCCAGCGCTTGATTGGTTCATCCTCCTGTCACTCAGGGCCTCAAAAGTGCATTGGGTTTAAAGTTTCTATTACTCCATCTTGTAATCAGAGCCTTTGAGTAGTAATCAATGACCACCATCAGAAATGACTCATTATGCACCACTATCTTAGTTTCTTTAGAGTATAGTGCTTTTTTTTGTTACTAAACTACAATAAATACATTGCCCCTTTTGTAGCAATGCTACATGCATGACTTTATTGGGTTTGTGCTGATTTTAACCATATTGATAACGTCCATATGTCACATGCTCAAAGTTTAATTGCAGTATATTTCGCAAATGGCAACAACGAAGCAGATTCTCAATTTGTGTTTTCGTAGGTGATTAATTTCTAAAATCGGTTGAGGAAAAGTATGCAACATTTTCAGTAGAGATTAATTTTGGTAATTGTAACCGTATTAATACTTTGAAAATGTACATTTGCACTAAAGACGGCTCAGTTAACATGCGCAGTGTGCCGTTTTCATCCCAATATTGACATAAACTTGGTTTTCTGTCCTTGAAGAGACCGTTGAGTTTATATATTGGCTCTCCATCCAGATGCATACGTTGCACGTTTAACTGATAGTCAGGCTTTAAGGTCTACTACAGTGTATTTGATCCTCTTTTGGCAACCAATGACTGCATGCCACCTGTTGGTCTTAAAGTAGCGCCCAGTTGTGTTCGCGAAGACCAGCACATGCTTTATAAGTTCTCCACCAGGATATGGTGACCCACTCTTGGCTTGTTTGTGTAACTGTGTTTATTTCGATCTTCTTGCAGCAGGAGCCGAGTGGGTCGCCCACACCGAAGAGACCGAGAGGAAGACCAAAGGGCAGCAAAAACAAGCCCAGCTCCTTGACACCGAGGGGCAAAGTGAGTACATGTTCAGTGCACAACTGCCCCCTCTCCACTATCACACACACATTCACATCCGCCCGCCTCCTACTTAAAAACACTAGAGATACTTTAGATTTATAGTAGGGCGGGGGCAATGATTAATCGCATCCACGATAAAAAGTTTGTGTTTACAAAGTACACACATATATGTGTGTGTATAATTTTGTATACATACACACACATGTATATATTTAAAGAAATATTTGCATTTATGCATTTATATTATAAATGAATATACTATATATGAGGAGTTCTTTTCCAAAACGCTATAAATCCATTTCAATAGTTTTCAGGAAAATTACATTTTTTACCTAGACCCACACATTTTGTGAATATTCAATTTATCCTGTTAAAATGTTTTATTGGCTCAGTCTGAACATGTTGAACAATGATTATTAAATCAAACAACAATATTGTTTATGATAAATTAAAAGTTAATTTTTTTTTTTCCAAAACGCTATAAATCCATAATTTTTTTTCAAAACTGCATGGTTTGTCTTTAAAAAAAAAAAACGAGAGCATGTAACATATAATCAGGGGCTCATACTATAAATTAAATTTAGTAACACATTTAGGCTAGAAGTCATTTGGTGCAGAACCTGAAAATAGTAATGATATCAATAGCTATTCAATAAGTTATTTAGTAATACATTCAGAGTAATTTTTAGTAAAGTGTCAAACTTGTAACAAGTAGGACCAATTTGTCCACTACATATGCGTAAAAAAAACGAATTATTAAAAATATTTAATAATGATAACGATATTCAAAAGTAGTGATGGGCACCCCTCCACCACACACACACATGCTTGTATAGGCTACACAGCATGTGAACAAAGCGGAGCGGCGTGACGCTTACATATAGGCTAAGTTAAAAAAAAACTTAAACATACGTTTCATATTTATGTTTAATAATATAGGCTATTGTTATTTTTTTTTATTTCATATATGTTGATTATATGAAAAGGGAACCGCATGAGATGAGTATGATAGGATCATAAGATGACCAATATATCGGAAAACATTTGGAATGGGTCAGACATGATTTTGACCACTTATTAAGTTTTGTTTAGTAGAAAGCCTTTCTTTAAAGTGAATTTCGTTTTGTATAAATTGTATCTTCATTTTAATCAATGTTTCATCAACAAATTGACTGGATTAATAATAAATAAATAAGAAGCGAATATAGCAGACATATAATCAGGACACGGAAGCGCCCGCGCGTGATCTGGAGAGCATCACATAAATTGACCGAAACACAGCGATACTTGCCTCACAATCCTGAGAAGTATTTCTATAAAAAGCTTAAAATGTCTACATTTAAACAAAACAATAAAAACGAAAAGAAATTGGCTACTCTCTGCGTATGTAGGCTAATACAAAGTGTGCATTTCTCTCTATAGAGAAATGAATATAATTTCTCTCTACAGTTCACTACTGCGAAGATGGCGAGTCAGCATAGTCAACTTTATCCTTGCAGCTATATCTGACAGAAAACACTAATTAAAAAATAAACAATTCAAATGTTTCATGCATAGGCCTAATCATTACTTTTGTCGGTTCTTTGTGGCAAGCTTTATGCGTGAGATGCGGAATAGGCAATAAAAAAAAATGCTCATTATGGTTTCTCTCCCATATTTAAATAATTAAATCAATATAAATATGTGATTAAACTTAAATGAACTACTACTAGTCGACAAGAAAACTCACTCATTTTGAGGAATAAATGAACATAAACAAACCTCTGTTCAGAGCGCCACCCTGTTGGATTGCGTAGAACGTTCACCGAATTCTGATTAGTCGAGAGGATTTATCGCGTTTAGGCTAAAAATAGGTTTGGCGCTTATCGCGTTTTGGAAAGAAACTGCATCTTGTAGTACATTTTAAACAAGGAAATATAGCGATTTGGCATGAAATGTTGATGGAGCAGTGAATAGGTTCAGTGCACAGCAAAATGACATGACAAACTCATTTTTTTTTTAAATGGCGTTTATCGCGTTTTGGAAAAGACCTCTTCATATATAGAACACTTTTCTTCAATGTATACATGCATGTGTGTATTTATACAAAATAATTATACACAGCTGTACACACACATATTATGTAAACACAGACTTTTATTTTAATGGTTGCTCCGCCCTACTATAAATCTAAAGTATTTCTAGTGTTTTTAAGCACTAATTAATAGTGGAGAGTTCTTGAGGCCATTTAATCGTGTTCTAATGTTCTAAACGGCTGCTTCACCGCAAGAACCTTTTCTGTAAACATTCTCTTTTGGAACCTTCTATTTATGTAAACGTTCCAAAAGAGAATCTTTTATTTCTGTAAACACTCTTGTTGACAGTCAGTTTCTTGGTGCCTTGCTCTGGTTGTGCGATGTTCACAGCAGTCTGTGTTTGGAGCCTGCAGATCACCAAACCAGGTGCTCGGTTCCGGTGAGCTTCCTGCTAGAGCTTCCTGTGGCGTAGCAGGCGCTGTGTGTTGCAGGTGCACGAGCAGCAGAGATGATAATACCCCCCCTCAACTCTTCCCTCCCCTCCCCGCCATCTACTGTCATGACAACAGCTGTCCCTCCGACCCCTCCCCCCATAAGCACACCGCCTTGGCCTTGTGTGTGTGTGTGTGCATCTCGTAGCAGCTGTCTCTCAGCTCTGGACCAGGTGGCTGACGGGCTGAAGTGCACCGCGTGCTGCTCGTGTCCGTTTCCAATATAATGTCCAGTGAACCCGCTGGCCCGGGCCGCCTGCCAGCACAGGCCCAGCGCTCCCTCTGCTGCTCGTGTGTGTGTGTCGCACCGCGCTCACTCTCTCTTCTCTTTCAGAAAGCAGCTCCGGCTTCGGCACCTGCAGGGACAAAACGCCGCGGACGACCCAAGAAAGCCGTAAGTCCTCATGCGTGTTCTGTGCCTTTAAGAGTCTGCTCTGTGTGGAGGTTCGGATCGTTTTACTGACTCTCTTTGTTGGATCTCGTTCATCAAAATGAACTTTTTTCGAGTCATTTCGTTCATTTAAGTGGCTTTAAATGTCATACTTCTAACAGGCGAATTCATCACACGTCCACCTACACAATCTTGATCATATTCTTTTTCAATTATCAAAAATAATTTACAGGGAGCATAATCACTTTACCTTCCGAGTCCTTGGTTCGTTTGTCACGTGACGGACGCATGAACGACTTACCACTACTGTGGCGTTGCGGCACAAACCCCGACCCCAGTGTTTATGTGGTGAGAAGTTGCCACGGGCAACAGTGAAAATATTTGTCTGCTTCTCACGAGCGATTTCTTTCTCGCCCTCCGTTTCTCCTGTAGGTCTTGTTTATAAGAACGGATCAAATATCTTGAAACGTTTTATTTTGCTCTGTCAGTTTGGCATGTAGTCAGCGCCGCCCTGCATTTCCTCGACAGCTCACGGTGTAGTCATCATCACCCCTGTGTGTCTCCACACTGCATTCCTCTCGCATGAGGCGCTGGCGCGGCTCAGTCCAACATGCCTGCAGGAATCCAGCAAGTTGAGTCACAGAAACCCCAGGCTTTGAGTCACGAGAGTTAGTGCAGCCAGGGCCTTTCCTTCACTTGAACATGGGAAGCTCTGGTTTGATTTTAATAGCATGAATGCCACATTAGTGTTATCGAATGCGTCATCTTTGAGCATCTGTGCAAAGTTTAAGTTGGCAGCAGTCGCATTGTGACCTATAATTACCTAAAGGACTGTGGGTAAATTAATGAAAGCAGTGGAGGTTATGAGTCAGTGGCTCATATAAATACCCACACTTGTGGTCTCTGCACTTGTCTACTTGCATGACGAATTTCCTGAATCTGGTGCAAGTGGGCATGGTGACCACACGTGTCAATCTTTTCTTTTTTCTATAGGACACCAAAATGCAATTGTTTACAGATCTTTTAGATTTTCAATACTTTGAGATTTTACATTTAGAAGTTTACAATTCAATGTAACAGAAGGCACAGTTAAGTAATTGCAATGCTTCTAATTAAGTGATGAAAAGCAGTTGCAAGTGTTGTACATAATACACTCATCTTTGCAACACGTATTGCTCATTTACTTCCTGTCGTGTGCAAACACTGCAAGTGTTGATATATGGCGACTCTGATCGTGTGGAGATTCATTATTCTTCCGTAGTTGAGATGCGCGATTCACAGGGTTCGTACAAGTGCTTGAATTTGACTTTGATTTCCTAAAATCCCTTGCAAACAGCCATATTAATGAAAAGGTTGCTTGAATTATTGAAAGACTGTATATATATATATATATATAAAATGAGTGTTTAATTTTTTCCATGATATTACGCAATATTTTCATGCAAAATGAACGCTGCAGCCTGTCTGATATAGATAAAGTAGGGCTGTCAAATGATTATTCACGATTAATCATCCAAAATAAAAGTTTTTTTTACATAATATATGTGGGTGCATTGTGTATAATTATTTTGTATATATATAAATACACACACACATGCATGTATATTTAAGAAAAAATATTATTTAAATATTAAATATTTATATATAATATAAATTATATATAAATCTATATACAGAATATACATGAAAATATTTCTTAAATATATACAAGCATGTGTGTGTATTTATATATATAAAATAATTATACACAGTGCACCCACATATATTATGTAAAAAAAACTTTTATTTTGGATGTGATTAATCACGATTAATCATTTGACAGCCCTAATATAAAGACATTTCACATGGCCATGAGCATAATATTGCTTCTAAACATCCAAGTGTACAATACAGATTTCATTTTTCAGGTCAATCATATATTCAGGAAAAAAAAAATCAGTTTGATCAAGGAAAGTGATATCTTTGTTAACTTTAACCCTTGAAAGGATACTATGACCGAGTCGTTGTGTACTTTGCGTGTGTGCTGCACTTTTATTTGCGCCATTTTGTTTTATTAGTACATTTCTATTAATCGGTTTACCTTTTTTAGAATTTAAAAGATGACAAAGATATTGTTTGATAAGTAATTTCTAGTCCTTGAAAAGCAGAAAAAAGGAAGTCCTTGAAAGTCCTGGAGTTTGCTTTCACCGAATCCGTACGAACCCTTTATTCAGCGGTTGTGTGAATCTCACAAAGAAATGTTTTTGTGACCATTGCATTCTTGGATACAAAATATAAATTTCTGTTTTCTTCTCTCCAGGAGAAAGAGGAGCAGCCATCCAAGTCCTCTGAGGAGGAGGAGGAAGAAGAGGAGGAAGAGGAACAGTAACCAGCAACTAACTCGTGCTACCTCACAATCCAACGTTATTTCTTCCTGTTGACCAGAGCTGGACTGACACCCCTCCCCCCTCTTCCCCTTCCACTAGTGCCACCCTCGCCCTCCGACTCACCTTTACGCTCTAGCGCCCCCTAGTGTCAGGGAGGACAGCACACTTCATGCGACTTCTCTGTGTAACACCACTGGAAAAAGACTCCGAATACTGTATGTCCATTCATGGATGCATGCACATGTGTATGCACATCTGTATATGTCTCGCACTCAATGGGTAATTGGTGGAAAGCGTCTGTCGTTATACTGGACAAAGATATGCTCTGATGGCGGCTTGACACAAAGCGATTTGCAAAATACTGAAGTTTTCTCTTTCGCAAACCACAGTTTCAGGCCTTGAGAATTCAAGTTTATTTTTACAAGTCAAAGTCTAAGATATGGTAGGTTGTGTGAAATTCGTGTCGTTGTGTACTGGACAAAGGTGAATTGACCTACTCGTTTGTTTTTACTTGGGTTGTGTGTGTGTGTGTGTGTGGTAACTCGATGTCTACCGTTATACTTTTTAGCTACTCCGTGATTCAAGCTAGAAATAAAATGAGCATATTTTTGCTTTAGCATAATCTAGAGGTCTTTTAACGTGTAATCAACATATCATTGAATGCTTTGTCGTGACTTTTTGTTTCTCATAACTCCCTGCGCTGTCTCGCCACCATCATGATTTCACTCTCCGCGAACGCTTGCGTTGTCGGCCCACGGTCAGTGTAATTCATCTTGCCGGACCCGATTGCCTGATGGGTTTTAATTTTGGAAGTGACTTGATTTGTTTAACCTCCCGCTTAAGCATGGCGGCCTGATCCTCGTTCCAAGACTGCACCGTGAATGATTTAACGCCAGCAGTGCTTTTATCAGCCCCACATAAATCTGTTAATCTTGCATGCTAATGTTAAACATTTTTTTAAAATGGAAAATGCTATAGATCATTCCATTCGCTCTCTCGTGATTTCCTTGCGAACTCCCCAGCCGTGTCACCTCTGTCCTGTACCAGTCCTGTTCGCTCTCTTCTTCATGCTGTTTTTTTTTTTTTTTTTGACGTGTTAAATTCCATGTCAGGGAACGCTGATCGGTCCAGTGACTGGGTCTCCTCTCAGAACTTAATGCTGCTACAAACATGGTTAATTAAACCCGGAAAACTGCAACCAGGTCAGTTCTACTCTGGACTTGACCGTCACATTCATACCTCACTTTACAACAGCCTATGACGGATTACTCTTCTCTTTCCTGATGACGTTCAGCTGGTCCCAGTGCAGTGTCTGATCCACTTATAACTGTCTCCAGTGTGGGATTTGTGTTGCTTTTATTTTATTTTCTTCTCATATATAAACATCTGGACACGCCACAGGAATTACTGCATTGAGTCACAGAGATGCAAAACAAGTTCAGACTGTGGTAGAAATATAGGTTTGTGTGTTTATTTTTCTATACGTATTCGTTTGGTGCACTGAATTGACTTTTGATTTGTTGTATCATGGACAAAATGATTTAGTGTGGCACCTAAAGGTTCGGGCTCTCTTCTCTCTCTTTCCTTTCTCTGTAATAAACTCCATCCTGCTAGTTGCTTAGCTCTGAGCCCCATTTAGTCGGTCATGATGGTACTAAGGCTGGTTTTTAACATATGCCCCCTCAATACTGATGTCTTGTTTTTATGTGCCCATGCACAACTGGTTTGGGATCAGTCTTTTCAATGTATACACTCTGCATTTTCTATTGTGGACTGCAGGAATTTATACTCAAAATGGTAATAAAGTTAAGAATTCGTACATATCTTGGTCTGGCTGTATTTCTTCAAGTTATTGCTTGGAACGAACGCAACTCTATTGTAAGAATAAATGAACATTTCCATCTTAACCCTTCTCTCCGAATTAGCCATAATGTGTTCTCCTTCACTTGGTTTCCGTCAAATCCGCTTGGTCTAAAATCCCCATCTACATTTCTGCTTGGAAAACTTTTTTATTTTATTTTTCATTTAAATTATTAATTGTAAAATTACAGCCTGTTATATTGCCCTTCATGAATTAAAAAAGATCAATTGGTTGATTCTGTCTCTCTCTCTCTCTCTGTGCTTTGATGGAAGGGGACTTATACTTTTCTCTGTTTTTACATTAAGGATTATAATTTAGGATTTGTATTGTGAAATTATTTTTTAGTAGTTTTTTTTATATTTTTAAATGTCTTTTTTTTTTTTTTAGTATTGCTTTTACAGCAAATGAAAATAAAAATGGCCAGTTCACAATGTATCTGAACAAGATTAAGGGTTCATATACGTATCCAACATTTAACTTTTTTTTAAGACTTGAACAAATAACTTCATTTGAATAAAGTTAAACACTTTGCTTCAAAACCTTGCTGAAAGTGAAACATGTGTTTATGCTGCTGTCAAAGACTAAAGAACTAATGCAGATGTTGTAACAACAGTAGTTTTAATAGAAGTTCAGCAAAATACACCAATAGAACTGAATGTGCGAGTACATGGTAGCATCTTAACTTAAACTCTTCCAATGGTCATGAAAAACCTGGAAATATAACACAACTCAAAATTGTTTAATTTACTAGAAACTACTCGTGAGTGTTTTCTCTATAGAATGATTAAAATGCCAGTAATTGGACTAAAGATTACAGGCCTCAGACTCCAGCTCAACACACCATGAAAACCACAGGGGAAGGAAACCGGGTCTCTAGAAGAAGTGCTGATGGCCTGTGGGTCCTGTTTAAAGATGGTGGCATGTCTTAACTCGCATGACACATTGAAGGAGCCGTCATCGTGGGAACTTGTGATTGTTCGGGTGCCTGATATGAACAAGTTTGCCGAGTAAACTCGGACAAACCAGAAGTCATTTCACACCCTTTCCCTTCACTTCAACTGGGCTCTCCGCACAGTCAACCAACCTGATTTTAGACCAATCTGCTGGATTGCAGGATACACACAACAGATTTGACATTATCAAATGATTAATGGAAGAAATATTTGATAGAACCATTTGATATTTAACAACCAAGCACCAGACTGTAAAACATGGAAGCTTGTTTCCGCCAAATCCTGCAATTGCAGGAAATAAAGTCAAGAGTTGTGGAGAAGTGGACCGTAACGAAGTACATTTACTTGAGTATACATATATATATATATATATTGGAAACTTATGACTTTAACTTCACTTTATTTGTAAGACAAATATCATACTTGTCACTCCTACATTTCTATCAAGGTCCTCGAGTCGACCGTCGTTTCTATGCAGCAGCTTTGAAAGTCAGTGGATGCTTTTTTGCTTCTTTAAAACATGAATGTTATTTTGCAGGCAGCCTATCAGTAATCACTCTTGTAGGGTCACGTAAAGTTCAATGATTTCCCAGTTTTTTTTAACACTGATCCGTTGATGGCAAAATGGAAGGAAGCGCGGTTCCTCGGTGCAGTGCGCGCGCCACAGCCATGCTTAGAAAGGGTTTCAGATTAAAGATTTGCTTTGTTTGCCTAAAGCGAACCATATCACAGCCTTCAAAACTGTGCCGTCTAATCTGCGGAGGCATATCGAGGGATGTAAACTTAATATCTGGTGGAAATGGAAATTGTCTGTGCTTTTAGAGCTTAAGTTTCCGTATGAAGCAGTGATACTTTCACTGACTAATAATTTTCATCCACAACATATTTTCATTGACGAAAACGACAACTAAATAAAAACCAGTTTTGAATGACAAAAATCTATTGACATTTTCATCAATTAATAAAAACGAGATGAAAATGTTAGGGAGGGACTATTTGGGAAGAGATCCAGTCAGACCTGATGTCCTGCATGAGATGGAAACATGTAAATGTCTGGGAGAAAGAGAAGAGCAGACATATGGATAAGTCTGAAAAAGCGCAACGACGCAAAAGATAACTCTACTCAGGCCGTTTGCTTGGTTCAACAACAACGACGTTAGTTAGCATGCAAAACCGTAGTTGGGCTAATAACGTTAAATGAAGTCCTTTCAGAAATATGTTTTAGCTTAATCTTGCCAAATAAACACAATGTAGAAACCTTTCCTTCGACTTTGGAAAGAGATTTGTAACCTTTAAACAAGTGTTTAGACGAGTTCAAGATAGTCGTATGCTAGCATGAAGCACCACTGACTGGCTTAAACCACCATGATGGAAAATTTTAATTGACTTTTGATGCATAGGTACTTTTAAAAGCAAGTACTTCTGTACTTTTACTTCAGTCAAAATCTGTTTTTACAACTTTCACTTGTAACAAAGTAATATTTGACCCTTTGTATCGATATTTTCACTCAAGTAATGGAAACCTCTCGATCGGCGAGATATAAATGGACCTTTTAATCATAAACTCGCAATTGAGAGAAGGAAAATTGTGAGATAAAAAGTCACAATTACCTTTTTTATTTGTTATTCCAAGGCGGAAACAAGCTTTCACAGTAAACTCCTTGATAACATCAGTTCATTTCAGTGGAACTTCAAAATGAAAAGAATAAATACATAAATAAAAAACCCTAGCCAGATTCAGTCGCACACTTCTTGCGTCACATTGCACAAAACCTCACATTTAACAATCAGTTTGTCTGACTGCACACACAGTCAAAGACGAATGCATAAAAACGAAATGTGCGATTACATATCTGTTAGCTTTGAGGTCATCTCTATACAATCGTATTTCCAAAAGTTGACAAAAAAACCTATCAGCAAATATATGTTTGATAAGTTATACAATATGTGTACATTTTTTCCATCAAAACAGGCCAAAAAATAATGATGACTCATCTTGCACTCACAGGCATTTTCACATTTGTGTCCAATAAAATGCTCTCTAGAATGAGAACGACTTTAGCTTCTGACTAGCATTAGCAATTACTGTGCGTTTGTTGGTTGAGAAAATGCTTTTACTTCATTTCCTTTTCCAACCAACAACTGCCTGAGGGAAGTGGGTGCAATTAACCCAATTTGAAAAAGGGTTTAATGCTTTTGCCAATGTTAGAAGAATGGTTTTGTAGAATTATGACACAAACTAAAGGCATTTTGAGAAAATGTCCCATTATTGACATTATTTTTTTGTCTATACAATGAAATTTATTGGAGTCCAATGTTGTTTGGACTCCATCATTCTTCAAAAAGATCTTCTCTTGTAGTCCACAGAAGAAAGAAAAAGATACAGATTTGGTACAACTTGAAAGTGAGTAAATGAAGACGATGTTTAACTACTTAATTTCGCACTCTCTCATTCTGGCAAGTTCAAATATAATGCAGGCGAATTTCCCAGCGCATGAGTGCATCCAGCGTAAGGAAACAAATCTTGGCAACATGCTTTAAACAAGTTGACAAACTAGTTTGCTTGGAGAATAAAAAAATAGCTGTGATAGTTTAGCACGATGACCTAGTTGGGTCTCGGTTTACTCACAGTGAGCAATCACATTCATGCGTACTCAGTAAAATAAACAGCTCTCACGAGGATTTAATAGCACAGAATATCAGCAAAATACATACAATTAAAATAAATAAATTCATTGTAACAGTGGCAAATTAACGTCCTTCTTATTCAGACAGCAAAGCTGCACTTTAAATGGACTATATTTGCAAGAGGAGACCTGAGGTGAACAAGTATGATCCCAACGCTTGAGTCATTTCTCATTTCACTAAAGCTCTTCTAGGCTCATCGCTTCAAACTGCCGTGGAAAAAACAGTAGCGTATTGCTCAAAATTGTCCATCTTGTGAATCTGCAATACAGAACGATGAGACAACATATGAAGTGACCAGATTAAGAGATCGTGTGTAGAATCACCAAAATGTAAAGTAGGTTTTGTGGCAAACCTTTATTTTCATGCATCAGGATTCTTTGAAAGCAAGGGTCTGCGCTGTTGATAGGTCCTCATCCAACCCTGGACCACCTGCAAATACAAAAAAGGAAAGCTTCTTATATTTAATGTGGCTTATTACATTGACTGGGATTAAAGGGTTTATTACATCATGAGACCAGGTGGCTGTACATATTTGGAAATATGTGTAAATCCACTCTGGTTGTCGTAAGTCTGAAACATTTGATATTCCTTTTTCTTAAAGTGCCTTTTTCTACCTGTCATGTAGTGTGTTTATTGCTGTTTGTGAATGTAAATTTCTGCAATGTTTCAAAAATCAAAGTGCAGATAAATGGAGCTATTGATTCCCAAAAGAAAGAAGCGTAACACATTTGCATAATGCCAGCCAATGGTCTTCATTGGCTGTCTACGAACAAGGTCTACTTTGACCCTCAAACACTGTAGTTGTAACTGAGACTGGTTCGTGTTGACGTGTTCATGTCGAGAAGATGCTGTTTTCTGTGCTGTCAAAGCATGCACTTCCACGTTAAAGCACTTCAAAATGATGAGGACTCGGGCTGGAATTAATACAATAAAACCGACGCCTATGTTACTATGTATAAAGTGATGATGAAGAGTAAATTCAGATATGGTAATGAGACACTCTGTAAGCCTTCGACCAATCACAACAGACTGGGCCATCTGACCAATCAAAGTAGAGTAGACCAATCACAGCAGACTGGGCCATCTGACCAATCAGAGCAGAGTAGACCAATCACAGCAGACTGAGCCATCTGACCAATCAAAGTAGAGTAGACCAATCACAGCAGACTGGGCCATCTGACCAATCAGAGCAGAGTAGACCAATCACAGCAGACTGAGCCATCTGACCAATCAGAGCAGAGTAGACCAATCACAGCAGACTGGGCCATCTGACCAATCAGAGCAGAGTAGACCAATCACAGCAGACTGGGCCATCTGACCAATCAGAGCAGAGTAGACCAATCACAGCAGACTGGGCCATCTGACCAATCAGAGCAGAGTAGACCAATCACAACAGACCGGGTCATCTGACCAATCAGAGCAGAGTAGACCAATCACAGCAGACTGAGCCATCTGACCAATCAGAGCAGAGTAGACCAATCACAGCAGACTGGGTCATCTGACCAATCAAAGTAGAGTAGACCAATCACAACAGACCGGGTCATCTGACCAATCAGAGCAGAGTAGACCAATCACAGCAGACTGAGTCATCTGACCAATCAAAGTAGAGTAGACCAATCACAGCAGACTGAGCCATCTGACCAATCAGAGCAGAGTAGACCAATCACAGCAGACTGAGCCATCTGACCAATCAAAGTAGAGTAGACCAATCACAGCAGACTGAGCCATCTGACCAATCAGAGCAGAGTAGACCAATCACAGCAGACTGGGCCATCTGACCAATCAAAGTAGAGTAGACCAATCACAGGAGACTGGGCCATCTGACCAATCAGAGCAGAGTAGACCAATCACAGCAGACTGGGTCATCTGACCAATCAAAGTAGAGTAGACCAATCACAGCAGACTGGGTCATCTGACCAATCAAAGTAGAGTAGACCAATCACAGCAGACTGGGTCATCTGACCAATCAGAGCAGAGTAGACCAATCACAGCAGACTGGGCCATCTGACCAATCAGAGCAGAGTAGACCAATCACAACAGACTGGGCCATCTGACCAATCAGAGCAGAGTAGACCAATCACAACAGACTGGGCCATCTGACCAATCAGAGCAGAGTAGACCAATCACAACAGACTGGGCCATCTGACCAATCAGAGCAGAGTAGACCAATCACAGCAGACTGAGCCATCTGACCAATCAAAGTAGAGTAGACCAATCACAGCAGACTGAGCCATCTGACCAATCAGAGCAGAGTAGACCAATCACAGCAGACTGGGCCATCTGACCAATCAAAGTAGAGTAGACCAATCACAGGAGACTGGGCCATCTGACCAATCAGAGCAGAGTAGACCAATCACAGCAGACTGGGTCATCTGACCAATCAAAGTAGAGTAGACCAATCACAGCAGACTGGGTCATCTGACCAATCAAAGTAGAGTAGACCAATCACAGCAGACTGGGTCATCTGACCAATCAGAGCAGAGTAGACCAATCACAGCAGACTGGGCCATCTGACCAATCAGAGCAGAGTAGACCAATCACAACAGACTGGGCCATCTGACCAATCAGAGCAGAGTAGACCAATCACAACAGACTGGGCCATCTGACCAATCAGAGCAGAGTAGACCAATCACAACAGACTGGGCCATCTGACCAATCAGAGCAGAGTAGACCAATCACAGTAGACTGAGCCTTCTGACCAATCAGAGCAGAGTAGACCAATCACAACAGACTGGGCCATCTGACCAATCAGAGCAGAGTAGACCAATCACAGTAGACTGAGCCTTCTGACCAATCAGAGCAGAGTAGACCAATCACAACAGACTGGGCCATCTGACCAATCAGAGCAGAGTAGACCAATCACAGCAGACTGAGCCATCTGACCAATCAGAGCAGAGTAGACCAATCACAGCAGACTGAGCCTTCTGACCAATCAGAGCAGAGTAGACCAATCACAACAGACTGGGCCATCTGACCAATCAGAGCAGAGTAGACCAATCACAGTAGACTGAGCCTTCTGACCAATCAGAGCAGAGTAGACCAATCACAACAGACTGGGCCATCTGACCAATCAGAGCAGAGTATACCCGGTTTTCTGTTGCTAAACTACTTGCTGTAAAACACTGTACTGTCATTTGCAATGCAGGTGCAAAAATACTTTAGTCAACATTTCTAAAATTAACTAAATAAATACTGAATTAAATGTAATATTTAATCACACTTGCGTTCATGTATCTTATTTATTTATTGAGTGTCAGACTTCATTACTATTACATAAAGTGCAATTCACAGTTCTGAAGATGTAAGTTAACATATTTTAATGACATCACACTGTGAACAGCTCAACGTGTCCACCAACACAGTGACAAAACGTGCATTCATAACCCACCGTATTACAGTTACAGATATACACGATCTAAACAGGTCCAGTTAACACAAAGTAATTTAAGACAGATTTGTAAGCGGTCAATTATGGAACTGCAGTCCAATATTATCAGCTTTGAAAAGACAGACATTCCAGAGCTTAAATATTGAAGGGACAGTATTTATATGAAATTCATTTCACTTCATTTCTTGCAATATACACAATGGGTAAAATAATGCATGTCTTTCTTTCTTATATATATTATAAATAATATTGCATATAATTTAAACGTTTATGATTAGGAGTGGTGACACACAATTTCCTCCTCTTCAAACTTCGGGAATGACAAAACACACATCACAGAGCATCACATTAACAACACACCATTATATAATCTTGCTTCAACGAGATGGATGAGAACAAGAAGTAAGCCATGTTTCCTCCTGCATCTGCCCAGGCCAGACTGTGTCAGCTTAATGAACTGGTTGATGAGGATGATGCCAAGGAAACTCTTGAAGCTCTCCTCTATCTCTGTGATGCTAGTGTCCTTTTCCACCACCAAGAATTTGGGTTTTCGGATTTACTGAGTCCTCCAATCCGTCCGAGGAGCCATGTGTCTTCATCTCCCCGTCCAGGCATTGCGGCGTTTTCTTATATCCGCCCAAATACAAGGACAGAATCAGAGGGAGAAATGTGTTCCCGTCCTGCAGGGGTCATATCATATGCTTTCGTCCATGTATCTTACAGTAGGAATTCTCATGGATTCAGAAACTTTACTGAAGATGTCTGTTATGTAACAAAGATGAAAAATCTGAATCTGAACAGAGGGGTGTTATGATTTAGGTCAAATGACCAGATATCAGATACATTTATTTAATACTACATTTTTAATTGAATTCCAAATATGTCACGTGGTTGTCAGTGTAAATGTTTACAGGAGCTTTCTTAAAGGTTGGGTCACTTATTAGACATTTTCCCATTTTTACTTTAAAGTCCCTGTAAAGGCAATTCTAAACACATTATAAATGTTAGAAATGTATTGATTAAACATATTACAAAGACTGTGAACTGTGAAGTACTGAATTGTGGAGTTAGACCGTTAAACAGTTTTTCACCATTGCTATTTTCCGGATTTTTTGGGCGGGGCTAAAACGGGGCTCGATGACGCACTGGAGCCGCTGAGCTCCTGGACACGCCCCTACTTGATGACGCACTGGAGCCACTGAGCTCCTGGACACGCCCCTACTTGATGACGCACTGGAGCCGCTGAGCTCCTGGACACGCCCCTACTTGATGACGCACTGGAGCCGCTGAGCTCCTGGACACGCCCCTACTTGATGACGCACTGGAGCCACTGAGCTCCTGGACACGCCCCTACTTGATGACGCACTGGAGCCGCTGAGCTCCTGGACACGCCCCTACTTGATGACGCACTGGAGCCACTGAGCTCCTGGACACGCCCCTACTTGATGACGCACTGGAGCCCTTCACAGCAGTGGGCGTTTACAATGAAGTCTCACAGCCAATCACAGCAGTGGGCATTTACACTGAAGTCTCACAGCCAATCACAGCAGTGGGCGTTTACTCTGAAGTCTCACAGCCAATCACAGCAGTGGGTGTTTACAATGAAGTCTCACAGCCAATCACAGCAGTGGGCATTTACACTGAAGTCTCACAGCCAATCACAGCAGTGGGCGTTTACTCTGAAGTCTCACAGCCAATCACAGCAGTGGGTGTTCACACTGAAGTCTCACAGCCAATCACAGCAGTGGGCGTTTACAATGAAGTCTCACAGCCAATCACAGCAGTGGGCGTTTACTCTGAAATCTCACAGCCAATCACAGCAGTGGGCGTTTACTCTGAAATCTCACAGCCAATCACAGCAGTGGGTGTTCACACTAAAGTCTCTTAGCCAATCACAGCAGTGGGCGTTTACACTGAAGCCTCACAGCCAATCACAGCAGTGGCCGTTTACACTGAAGTCTCACAGCCAATCCCAGCAGTGGGTGTTCACACTGAAGTCTCACAGCCAATCACAGCAGTGGGTGTTCACACTGAAGTCTCACAGCCAATCACAGCAGTGGGTGTTCACACTGAAGTCTCACAGCCAATCACAGCAGTGGGCGTTCACACTGAAGTCTCACAGCCAATCACAGCAGTGGGTGTTCACACTGAAGTCTCACAGCCAATCACAGCAGTGGCCGTTTACACTGAAGTCTCACAGCCAATCCCAGCAGTGGGTGTTCACACTGAAGTCTCACAGCCAATCACAGCAGTGGGCGTTCACACTGAAGTCTCACAGCCAATCACAGCAGTGGGTGTTCACACTGAAGTCTCACAGCCAATCACAGCAGTGGGTGTTCACACTGAAGTCTCACAGCCAATCACAGCAGTGGGCGTTCACACTGAAGTCTCACAGCCAATCACAGCAGTGGGCGTTCACACTGAAGTCTCACAGCCAATCACAGCAGTGGGTGTTCACACTGAAGTCTCACAGTTATTTTTTCTATGTAAAAATCATACTAACATTATAAGTTCACCACAGGAAACATTATAAAACAATAAAACAATGCAGTTCATGACCCCTTAAATAGCTGTCCAGAGCAAACTAAAGCAAACATTGTGTGGTATTTTGTATGTACAAGGGTTGGACGATGAAACTGAAAAACCTGGTTTTAGACGACAATAATCTATCAGTGTGATGTAGGGCCTCCTTTTAAAGCCAATGCAGCATCAATTCATCTTGGGAATGACAGATTTAAGTCCTTCACAGTGGCCAGAGGGATTTTGAGCCGTTCCTCTTCCAGAACAGTAATGAAATCACTGGTGGAGGAAAACATTTACTGACTCGCTCCTCCAAAATACCCCAAAGTGTCTGATAATACATAGATCTGGAGACTGTGCAGTCCATGGGAGATGTTCAACTTCACTTTCATGTTCATCAAACCCTTCGGTCAGCAGTCTTGCTGTGTGTATTGGAGAATTATCATGCTGATACACGACACCCTCTTCAGGGCACAACGATTGAACCATTTGGAGCACATGGTCCTCCAGAACGGTTTGGCAGTCCTTGGCAGGGACGTGTCCATCAGGCACAGTCGGGAATGCCATGATATTCTGATCTATATGATATAATGCCATCACTGATCCGCCCGTGCTTCACTCTGGGCCGCAACAGTCCGGGTGTTCAGCCTTTTTAGTTCTTCTCCACACCGTAACTCACACGGATGTGGGAAAGACAGTGAAGGTGGACTCAGAGAACAATACATGTCTCACATTGTCCACAGCCCAAGATTTACACCGATGTCACCAATGAAACCGACATTTGGCATTGACACGAGTGGCCAAAGGTTTGGCTATAGCAGCCCAACCATGAATATTGACCCTGTGGAGATCCTGACGAACAGTTTTGGTCGAGGTGCGCGTTTAATTTTGCAATGATTTAATGAATTTTGGATACAATCCGGGTTAGTACCTGGAAACCCCTTTCAGACAGCGTCCTCTTACGTCGACAGTTACTCATGTTGGATGTGGTTCACTATGCCAACATTATTGACACATTTACACTATTGCTGTCCTGATCACAGATGAGCCAGCGAGACGCACCTACAATTTGTCCAGTTTTGAACAGTGATATGTGGCATGTCTCCCATTTTGTTGTGTGGATTGCAATATTTAATGTTCACTATGCTTTTGCTCTGCTAATTCAGCCTTCACACTTTGCCAACTGTTATATGTGATGTACATTTGTGATATTAAATTAATAAAAACTAGCGTTCTAACTTCCTTCCCTTTCACAGCGCTGTCATTTCTCCATAAAACCCAAACTTTACGTCAGAATTAGAGCCTGTGATTGTTGTAAAACGCAGTCTCTACTGTTGCTAAATTGACGTATTTGACGATAAAAAGTGCAATAATCCACGCAAAAGACGCCGTTTCCAACTTCAAGGCGGCTTTCTGTGCGTGCGCTCCGAAACGGGCCGCAACTAGACAAGCACGTTACACTTTAGCCATCATGTGCATGTCTTAACGATAAAACACACTCACACAAATGTGTCAAAATAAGAGTATTCACTTAAACGCAATTTGTGTCTTAAATGAGCATAAATAGTTGGGAGAAAATATAATGTGTATTATTTGATCTGCAGACTTAAAGTGGCAGCAGCCTAATAAACCTGCTGACGATTCGCCATTAATGTGAATCAAACTACAAAAGGCAAAGAGAAAGTTACTCACAGCTCTTGAACTTCTTCTATGTGAACATATTTTAAAATGTAATTTATTCCTGTGATCAAAGCTGAATTTTCAGCATTATTACTCCAGTGGCCACATTCACACTGTAAAGTTTCAGGAGTGACGAGTGCATTTAAATGCAGGATTGATGCATTAAATCCCGAAGCTGAGATGATTGACACCGTGGTAACCGTAGCAACATTCATGTTTGGACAAAAGCCATTTGAACTAAAGCGTCTTGTTCTGCTTGTGCTTGTAGAGGCGGCGTCACAGAGCGACTCTAGCAGTGTTGCCATGTCCACTTATTATAAGCGGTTTTGGGCTTGTCGTTTAAGCTTGGATCATAAAGCGATGGAGTTATGAAAGTGAGTTTTCAGCATAAAGCATTTGGATTTATTGCGGTTTATTGTGGGTTTGTTCTTGTTCGCAGTTTTTTTTCGAGGCTCGTACCGCTTTAGTTGTTCAGCTCGGTTCTGAACACACTACGTAGAGTTAATGTAAATGCTGCTGTTACTACCTGCATTTTCGATAGTTCATTTGGTTGTTTCCAGAACAGGATTAATAAGCGCTAAAAGCTGACCTGACAAACGAATTTAGCTGCAGTGTGTACGTGGCCAACGATCAGAAATCATGGGAATATGCTGATTTATCGCTTAACCCTCAGGTGCTCTTCGTTTCGGAGTCACACTTGTTATCTTCCCAGTCAGAATTGACCGGACACCTAAAAATGAAACTTCCTCCATCCCAGTAAAACCAATGCAATTTATTTTTGTTCAATAATATTTTTTCTTTTTAATTTGGTATTTTGAGACAAACATGTCGTTAAAACATGTCGTTTCATGGTGTAACCACTAGATGCCTGTTTAGCTCTCTATGGAGAGGCTTGTGAATTCGCTAATAGTTTTTGGACAAAATTACTTACTTTTAAGATGTGGATTTGAATGTGTTATTTTTTTTAATTCTCAAATAATATTTGTTGCCATGGTTTATAATTGTTTTTTAAATAAATTTGATGTGAAGTGTACACGTTTTTGCATTATTACTACAGTCAAACCTGAATACAGAGAAAGCATTTTGTAACAGGTAACATTACAATTCAATAAAAAAAATACAAAAAAAAACTGTAATGGTTTTTCACAGCTTATTATTATTTATATTATTATTATTATTATTTTAAAACATATTAATTTATTATTTTTAAATATTATATTAATTATTATTTTAAATATTATATTATGTATTATTTTAATAATTTTAATAATTATTATATTATATATTATATATATATTAATTATAATTATTCATTATGTAATGTTTTTCACTATTGATGTTTTTTTCTGCATTGTGGCCGATTTGTAGAGAATTTGTGTTTGTCAATTTCCCATTCATTTCCTACGGTCGGTCAATTCATTGGTGTGTATGTGTATAAAAAGTGTGTTTGTGTGTGTGTGTGTGTGTGTGGGTGAGTGTGTCTGTTTTGCACTCTTGATGTTTTAGAGTGTCACCCCTTCATTGTTGAGCACTTTTTTTCTGCATCGTGGCCAATTTGTAGATTGTACACACAAAAATTCTCAGAATTTTTGTGTTTTTGTCAATTTCCCATTCATTTCCTATGGTCGGTCATGTTTGACAGAAGAGCAAAAGTGTGACACATTTTTTTATGACCACTTTAACTGCTCGAATCATGACCTCAATTTTTTTGTGTGTTCACATACCTATTGCCATAAAAGTCACCACGTTTCGTAATTTTCCGATGAAGCTGTAATTTTTAAAAATTTAAAACAGAAAATTTTCTGACCGAAGAGCACCTGAAACATTTCTGATTATTATGAAGGTTGAAAACAGTCGTGCTGATTCATATTTCTGTGGAAATTGGGATTTTTTTCATGATTCTTTCATGAATAGAAAGTTCAAAAGAACAGCATTTATTTTAAATGGAAATCTTTTAAAACATCATAAATGTCTTTACCGTCACTTTTAATCAATTATTGTGTCGTTTCTGACTAAAAGTATTAATATTGGTATATGTTGACATTTGCTTTCAGTAATCTCATTAATAGTCAGCTGTGATTTCAGCGACATCAGCGTTTTTCATTTCCTCACAGGATGGCTTACCTTTGTGTCTTCCTCTTTCCACAGAATCTCCTGTTCGGCCTCGTTCAGCTCCTCGGTCGGGTCGTACGTGTAGACCGGAAGCAGCTGATGCCGCAGCCGATCAATCCTAGACGTGCATCAGACACACACACACACACACACACTCATTCTGACCCAGTGTTGGTGTCTTCAGCAGCTTGTGTTGAGAACAGAGCCTCAGACATGCTGCCTAATATCTACTGGTGTGCTTCACTGAGGAACACCATATGGGTTTACTCGTTTTTGAGTGAACTACACAAGCGGTCAAAAGTTTTTTTAATATGTTTTTGAAAACATGACTTTTATGCTCACCAAGGTTGCATTTATTCCATGAAAAAATTGTAACATTGTGAAATATTACTACAAAACTTGGTTCTAGTGATCAAAGCTGTATTTCCAGCATCATTACTCCAGTCTTCAGTGTCACATGATCCTTCAGAAATCACTCTAATATGATGATTTGATGCTCGAAAACATTTCTTATTAATAATGTGGTAACACTTTACAATAAGGTTCAGTAGTAAACATTAGTTAACTAAGGTTAACAACACTTCTAAGCTTAGTTAATATTAATTTCAATATTTACTAATACGTTATTAAAATCAAAGGTTGTATTTGTTAGCACTAGTTACTGCACTGTGAACAAACAATGAACAACCGGATTTGTATTAACTAACATTAACAAAGATCAATAAATATTGTTACAAGTGTATTGCTCATTGTTAGTTCATGTTGGTAAATAGACTAACTAATGTTAACTAATGAACCTTATTGTAAAGTGTCACCAATAATGTTGAAAACAGTTGCACTGCTTCATATGCGTGTGGAAACTGTAATCCACTATCATTCAACGGTAAGAAACATTTAAAACAATCATTCAAAACTGACAGTAAAGACATTTATAATGTTAAAAACGATTTATATTTCAAATAAGGTCTGTTCTTTTGAACTTTCTATTCATCAAAGAATGTATCACTGTTTCCATAAAAAAGATATTAAGCAGAAAAAACTGTTGATAAACATAAGAACCATTAATTATATTTGAGCACCAATAATAACGGAGCAGCAAACCAGCATATAGATTGATTTCTAAATATAATAAAGATTATTGCATTCAGAGTAAAACAAATCAAATATAATACATATTAATTATAATACAATACAACCGTCTTCATCTGTTAATCAGATTGAAGTTATTTCACTTTCGGGAAAAAAAAATATTATCTAATACTTTTCACAGACCACTTGCTGTCTTCTAAATATATAAATATCTCTCTCTACCCACTGAAAACTGGGATTCAGATGCATCTATACCCTGACCCCAACTTTTGTAAAAATAGGTTTTCTTTGATTAATAATTCTAATTTATAACTTGTTCAATATAAGACCATGCATAGAAAACAATCACACGATAACCTCATTAGCCCAGACACAGACCTCCCTTCTCTACGCTTCCTCGGTTCAAAACTTCTGCTCGGAGTTTACAGAGAAATTGTACATTGTTCTTAAAGGTATACTCTACTTTTTTTTGGAAATAGGCTCATTTTACAACTCCCCCAGAGTTAAACTGTTGAGTTTGACCGTTTTTGAATCCATTCAGCCGATCTCCGGTTCTGGCGGTACCACTTTTAGCATAGCTTAGCATACATCATTGGAGTGGACGAGACCATTAGCAGTTCTCAAACAAAAATCACCAAAGAGTTTCGATATTTTTCCTATTTAAAACTTGACTCTTCTGTAGTGACATCGTGCACTAAGACCGACGGAAAATGTAAAGTTGCGATTTTCTAGGCTGATATGGCTAGGAACTATACTCTCATTCCTGCGTAATAATCAAGAAACTTCACTGCCGTACCATGAGTGCAGCAGGCGTAATGATATGACGCAGCGCCTGAAAATAGTTCCGTTGTGTTGACGGAAGGTGGCCTATTTTCAGGCGCTGCGTCATATCATAACGCCTGCTGCTCTCAAGGTACGGCAGTGAAGTTTCTTGATTATTACGCAGGAATGAGAGTATAGTTCCTAGCCATATCAGCCTAGAAAATCGCAACTTTACATTTTCCGTCGGTCTTAGTGCACGATGTCACTACAGAAGAGTCAAGTTTTAAATAGGAAAAATATCGAAACTCTTTGGTGATTTTTGTTTGAGAACTGCTAATGGTCTTGTCCACTTCAATGATGTATGCTAAGCTATGCTAAAAGTGGTACCGCCAGAACCGGAGATCGGCTGAATGGATTCAAAAACGGTAAAACTCTCTGGGGGAGTTGTAAAATGAGCCTATTTCCCAAAAAAGTGGAGTATCCCTTTAAGATTAAAATACCGTTCTCCCCTTATGGATAAATAATGTGCTTATTAAGAGCACATTCAGAGATTGATGCTGCACCACAATGCTCTACTATTTGCCAAGAAAGCTATTCTTCAATATTGGAAACCGATACAATTATTAAATATGAATCAATGGTTAAATGTAGTATTAGAAAACATGGCCAAAGGGAAAAAAGGCTACCGTAGAAAGAAAGAGCGCGAGTCGTTTACATTTTAAATTCATATTTTATTTTGAAAAGTGTATATCTGGAGCGGAAAGCGAAGTCAGATTTTGCATGCGGGTTCAGAGAAAAATACGTGGGAGTATTTTGAAAGCCTACACAAAACTTTTCCGCTCTCTTCTGTCATGTGAAGCTAGTGATACTTAAGCTTGTTTATAGGCGTGTTGTACTACCGGTTATGAGGGACAATACGCTATGAAATATTATATCAGAATAAAGCAGAAACACTATGAACAGTTGATATATCAACATCCTGACCAAGAGAATACACTTAACTGGTCCATTGCAAACCTTACGTTTAAATCCCAATCATTTTTAAGTACATTATATATATATTTTTTTTTACATATTTTAAATTTAGATACACCTGCTATATAGTAAAATTCATTTAAGGCATGACTTTATATTTTAGGTATTGATTTCTGTATTTTTGAGCGTGTAAATTCCAGATTGCATTGAGTAATTGGCAGCATGTGTTCTGCCTTTTTCTTGTTTGTTTTCCCGTTGTCGTTTTCTCTTTCTCCTCATATTTTATTGTTGTAAAATAAAAAAGAGAATGATTTCTAAAGGATCATGTGACACTGAAGACTAGAACAATAAAGCTAAAAAAACAGAAATAAATTATATTTTACAACATATTAAATATATGCTTTGCAACATATTGCTTAGTTGGGGACATTTAATTTAATACTCAACAATATTATTGATCTGTCTGCATTGACACCATTATATGAGAACCGAACTGAGCTGGACGATGACATCACGGTTTTCTCCAGAGCGGCTATATATATATATATATGAACCAAATAACCTTACTTAAGCTGGACTGTGACACTATCCTCTTCTGGAAACAAACTTTGTTGGATTATTTTTCTGTTATCACTGTAAAGCTGCTTTGAAACACTCTGTATTGTAAATAATATTTCACAATATTACTGTTTTTACTGTATTTTTGATCAAATAAATGCAGCCTTGATGAGCAGAAACGACTTCTTTTAAAAAACATTAAAAAAAAAAAACTTTGACAAAAATCAGTCAAAACTTTGCTCAAGAGCGCTGGAGTGTGTTTACTTACCTCCGTTTCCTCCTTATGTACATCACCTACGAAACAAAAAGGTACATATAAATAATAGTACATATAAAAAGCGCAATATAAATAAAGGTACATTATTATTTCCTAGAAGCAATGCCTGGAAAGCACATTGAACAATGTCTGAAATAATGTCAGAAAAATGCTGGGTTGTTTTAACCCAATTTTGAGTCAAATATGGACAAACCCAGACATTGGGTTAATTTTTTTAATGTCATTTTTAACCCAACGTTTGGTTTTGTCCATATTTGACCCAAAATCGGGTTAAAACAACCCAGCATTTTTTTAGAGTGCATTCATAACAGAATAAAGGGCTTTTGTCTTTCTGGATGATCTGCTCAATCAGACTATCATGCGCTTCCCCTTCTCCCCCACACCAGCAGAAGAACAGCCGCCCAGTACAAGCGTGCAGACGTGTGTTATCCGGCACCCACCACTGCTGCCAGGACCCCGATCACAGTGAGGAGGAAGAAGGGCACGAGCACGTAGCTGACGGCCACATCTCCACCGCCGCCGTGAGGAGGAGGAGGAGGAGGAGTGGTGCTGTTCATGCTGAGGCCTTCACTGCTCATCTCCTGCACACATGTGACTCCCACATGCTCCCTCGGCCCCGGGAACCACTGGGAAACACAGGAGAATGCACTTATTCATGGACGAGGAATGCTGGGAAAGAGCTGAAGGGGCTTCATCATGTTATTTCAAACTTGTTTGCACTTTATCTACTAGCTAGATCAGTCATATTTGAAAGTTTCTTTAATCGGGCAAATAAACATTCCCGTTTACAACACTGATGTGCGTAACGTTCACTCCAACATCGAAAGGGAAAAAGTTGATTTAGCGATATTTTAAGATACAATATGTAGCCTGCTTTAGATCCACGTTTTCCCCCATTGTGCCAATGACAATTCCCTTATGGCTGAATGTGTTATAGGGGTTTTCCTTTCTAATTTCCTTGAAGATTTTTGTTGTATCTTAATTTTTCTCATAACTGTAATACAGCAAAACATATATTGTTGTTGTTATTGCTATTTAAATCAGCATACATAAAGGCAGTACAACAAATAATACCATAACGCAAGTGTAATACACCATTGCAGCAATAAGAGTTTTGAGCATTAATGTTGTATTGTTATTATGCTGTGTGTTTTTGAGGTATTCTTTAACGTATCATGTAAATACTACGATTTAGTGTGTAGTTTAGGCTATGTGTGAAGGGTGAATAGTCCAAACAGCCTTTCTAAAGCTAGGTAAATGCAAAATAGAGCTTGACATCTTTTAATACCACACAATCTGCATAACGCACAACTTCTCTCTATTTAGGGAAGTGTAACATTTGGATTTAATGCAAAGCGTCCAGCAGAAGACTGCTTTAATGCACATTTTACAATGACAAAGCGTTTATGTCGCACATGACTTTACGGAAAAACTACGCATTCACTGACATTATCTGCCCCCGTTTGTTTACATAACGGTAGTTGCATTATTACAGTGACTAGCACTGATATCATCAATGCCGCGATAATTATGAGCGGTCATAATAATAACACTGGTGTCTGCTGACTCACGTGAAAACATCATGACCAGTCAAACTTCACCATCGAGGCATTAAAGTAAACACGCCGGATTCAGTCAGAAGAGCAGAGTGAGTGTCACTTAACTATAAGACGACTCCAAATCCAGTTTTTATAACACAAGTCATGGGTTGTCTGACACTAAACCCCCACCGGCAGTGTTTACGGAGAGCAAGTCCTGCGATGAGAAGGAAACGATGATGGTGGTGCTGGAGGGAGGAGTTATGAGTTATTCAATGCACGATATTCATCAGCAGATGTCGCCACTGCATTAAATCATACCACTGCATCATATCATACATCATATCATATCATGCCATGTTATATCATGTCATAAAGGTTAATACAGGTGGAACTAATGCTAAAAATTATATAATTGCTATTTTATAACTGATATTCTTTAGTAATTGTTTTATTTGCAAGTTTAAGGATTGAATAAATAATGTTTAAGCTGTAGCACCGCTCTATTTGCATTTGTGTATGGTATTTTGCAATAACATTAGTAGATTATTTTTTAGATTTGTATAATATACTTGCAACAATACTTTTAACTTATGAAACCTTGACGTAATCAGGAATTGCAAAACACACATCTTTAAAATAGCTTAAAAACCACGCCTAACAAAGACATGCCAGCCAATCTGATGTCAGCAATTCGAAACGCCCATAGTGATTGACAAGCAAAGTGCGTTCTCTGATTGGCTGAAAAGCGCGGGCCGCCCCCTAACTCTTTATTTTAGAGATTTCCCAAAGGTTTCAGTGAGCTGTCAAGTTATACAGATATTATATTCCTGGCACAACTATATAATAACAATAAATAAATTAAAATAATAAAATATAATAGAAAAATAACCGTGACATTACGGTAGTGTCACGTGTGTATTAAACAACACGTAAACGTCATTGCGCACTGAACCAGTTCCACCTCTACTGCGCAACCTCATATTCACAAACAGGAAACGCTCTTTGGGGTTGAGCTTATGCTACGCAGTTTACGCAGAACTCAGAGTAATGGCGTCTGTGCGACGACACCAGCTCACAAGACTCACAAAATGAAGCGACGGAGGGACTATTCATGTTAGCAGAGGGACTTTAGAGGGGTTTGTGGCTGCGGGACTGCATTGAGAGGCGCAGAGCTGACAGAAGTTAAGGACTTTCATCAGTTCAGCGCGATGATAAAGCACAAGTCCAACCAGACGCGCACGTATGACAGAGACGGCTATAAAAAGCGCGCGGCCTGCCTGTGCTTCAGGAGCGAGCGCGAGGAGGAGGTGACGCACGCCCGCAATCACTGCGTCTTTATCTTTACTTCAACAAATACATTAACTTCTAAATATAATCCGCGTATACATTTAGCATGTGTGTAGGCGTTAGAAGTAGAGTTGTACGTGTGTATGTGATGGATGTGTGTGTTGTTCGACCACAGAACGATATCGGCTCATATCTGTTTTTTTTGTTTGTTTCGATAAAGTCTTTCCGTAGTAAAACTTAACGTTACCGTGGTTAACGGTACTAGATTTTCCGCCAATATGATACGGTGTTTGTTAATACTGTAAACACATAAATTACTGTGATATCTCCCTCAAATTGTTGCTAAAAAGTGGGTTTAACCTGTTTTTTTGGACATTCTGCGTGTGGTTAATCTCACTTTCTTGAAGCACCATGTAAATATCAAATACACCAGTGCATGATTATTATCAGATTCAGTGCAAAGGAATTTATTAATACATGAATCTTATACTTTCACTGTACCATAGTACTGCCACAGCAGTGTTTATTATGATGACCACAGCCTATTTGTATGACCATTTTGGCTATACCAGGAAACAACAGCTGCAGTAACAAGCTCAAAAGTAACAGTAGTATTCAATAAAATTGAATATGAAACATTTAGTGTTACATAATGTTGCTTTTGCCATGTTAAAATATTCCAGAGTTCAAACTCACTGTTTGTTGTCACTATCAGTTGTATTAATTTACATTTCCATAGCCTTGGCTTTAACCATGATTCACCCTCTCTAAATGCAGTATAATTGTGTCAGTGATTTTGTTAGCCTAGAGACTAAAGCACTTAAACTCTGAAACACAGCATTAGAAGTAAAAACGGTAATGAATGGTTTCATGTTGACTTTAAAGTTGTCTCAGCAGCACATTACACCAGGATAGGAGGAGGAGGAGGGAGTTTAAGGTTGTGTGTCACGCCGTGATGAGCAGATCATTGATCCGCATGTCTCTGACTGCGGTGTGTGTGTGTGTGTGTGTGTGTCAGGTGCTGTTGGTGAGCAGCAGCAGTCATCCCGACCGCTGGATCGTTCCCGGAGGAGGGATGGAGCCGGAGGAGGAGCCCGCTGTCGCTGCTGTCAGGGAGGTGTGTGAAGAGGTGGGCTTTCCTTCTTTAAAACACGTATTTAATGAGCGTATTATTACTGTTATAATGGACTCGTGTGAAATCCAGGAGAATCACACCAGGAATCGGTTCTAGGGTCGCACTAAATGACTTTAAAAGCCAGGCTGAACAAAATTGTGTAATGTTAATCCATGTTTGTTCATTATGCATAATGTTTATTTATACAACGGAAATGAATTAGATACAAAAAAAGATTAATAAATGCCGTAAAAGTATTGCCACCTGTTAGCTCATGATGCCCAGTGCGTTGACTGATGTTTGCTAAGTGAACTTTACTGTAAGTATTACCGTTTTAATGCTCTATTCCTTTTTTACAGTTCCCCGACTGTTACATCTGCATCATTAGTCATGCAGTTCTCACTTTTCCACGCTTAGTCGAGTAATAGGGATTGTTCCACATGTGAGGATTACTGGTCAGAGCCACACACACACAAATAACCTCAGGTTTACTGGACGAGCTCTTTAGTTTGCTACAGGATATGCAGAACATATAGGGCTAAATCTGTTTTTGTTAAATATTTTAATATGGTACTGTGATTTTAGATGAATTAAGAGCACTCTTTTCGCCAAAGACATCGACTTTGTAAACATTTTTATTATCCTATTAATATTTTTGTTATCCTGGGTTCCTTAAAAAGTCTTAAAATGTATTAAATTATTATTATTTTTAATTTAAGGCCAAAAAAGGTCTTAAAGTCTTATTTTTACTTGTGAGAGATCTTGAGAGACACTATGATTTAGACATATCTAAATCCTTTACCAAATTAAAACGATCTAATTAGCATACATATTATTTTTATTATTATTTCTTTGTGGATTTGCTTTTTCACGTGACAATTCACGGCCTTACAACAGTGTATTACGTCCGTCTCCGGCAGGCGAAAGGGAGAAGAAAATGGGTAAATGTGAGTTCAACTGTAAGTTCATTGTTTGTGCGTATGGGTGTGCGATATATATCGTCTATGATATCGTAATTATTTGTTTTAACAATGTGTGAACGATCGAGTTCGTCACTCACGTGTTCACTGCATGATGTTTTATATATATATATATATATATATATATATATATATATATATATATATATATATATATATGCGCCCCCAAAATTCAAGATACACGGGCGTTTTTGCCCCGATGAGTTTTTGTCTTATTTCATATCATTTGATGTAGTTATACAATATTACATGAGCAAGAGTGCCGTTTTCAAATGCGATATTTATTTCATACAACAGTGAAATGAACAATAAGTGAACATTGTGAGTTACATTTTAGACACAATCAGTGTTGAGCATGTTACTTAAAAAAAGTAATTAGTTATAGTTACTAGTTACTTCTCCCAAATAGTAACTGAGTTAGTAACTGAGTTACATCATTATAAAAGTAACTAATTACCAGAGAAAGTAACTATTGTGTTACTTTAAAAAAAATAATAATAAAATAGGCCTATCAAATCATTTGGATGCCCCCAGTATTACATATGTTAAATTAATGAAATGGACACTTAATAGTGTAGATTAGTGTTCAATGTTTTATAATAATAATTTATTCTATTGCTGTGGGACAATGTGAGAGACGCCTATTAAATTCAATATATTATTCTAAATATTAGCATTACTATAGTAGAACAATAAAACATTATAGATGGTTTATACTTAATATCGCAGAATCGCACAGACCCCAACTGGCCAACAAATAAGTTTAAAAATAAATTATGCTTCTTAAGAAATGTACCAAAAATTAATAAATAATAATAAAAAATATACATACTCTTTGTGCATATTAAAATGATCAAACTGTTACACAACTTCACAACTAGACATACTGTAGCCTAAGTTTCTTCCTAACAAAAGTAAACAGTTTAACAAGTGCTCTCTCAATATAATACTGAACATTTTACTAAAAAAAATTATAATACTAAAATATAATATTTTGGGGGTTTATTTTTATAACCTATAGCGAACGTCATCATCAGAGATTATTTAAGCCAAATTCTAGACATGTTTGCCGCACGTGTTTACAACCGGTCAAACAAAGATGTTTTCTGTGAATGTTCCCTGCAGGTTATTTTCGGGTTTATTTTATAACCTAAACAGAACGTTCCCTGACGGTAATTTTTTAGATTTTATTTGTATAACCATGTAAATTAATTAACGTTGCAGATATGTGTCATTTATTTATAAACAAACTATATAATGCTCGGACACCCTCGGTCTCTCTTGCGCAACTGTTGAGCGCGCTCTCGGACACATTCGGTCTCTCTCGCGCATTGAGCGCGCTCGCGCCGTTCGCTTCGCTTTTGTCCACTCCGGCACATCATAAACACACACACACACACACCAGAGAAAAAAACTTTGCAGGTCCTATGGCGGAGAGAGAGCCTACTCGGATGAAAGCCGCTTCAGTGAGTTCAATTATAGTAACGCCACATTTTTTTGTCAGTAACGGTAACTGCGTTGTAACGGGGGAAACAGTAATTCGTTTGATTACTCGTTACTGGAAAAGATAACGCCGTTTATTTATAACGCCGTTATTCCCATCACTGGACACAATATTGTTTTTCATTTATTTTGCCAACAAAACTTTCAAAATGAAACCACAGCAGAACCGAGTCTCTGAGCAACAGACAGATATGATTTTTTTTTTTGAACGAATCATTTTAATTAATGATTCAATGATCCATTCCCTATGATTCAGCCGTTTGAATGAATGACTCACTGACTTCACCTACAGTTTCAGTTTCATATTTAAAGCCTTATTTATTGCTCATTTATACGCTTATGTATGCTTATTTATATATATTATTGCCTTTTAATTAAACATTAGAAATCATTTCACATTTAAATGTTGAATTAAATTGAATTGACTAATTGTAAATGCAGTGCAAGTACATTAATGCCACTTCTGATGCCGCACTGATGTCACTTCTGCACTGCAACGATGGATTTTGTTGATAATGATTTAATTTGATTGGTAACAGCCCTATACTGTGTTATTGCTTAATATAATTTAGTTTGAATGTTAGAATTTGACATAAAAGGTGATGCATACATCTGACAAGTTTAGAAAAAAAAGCCCTTATATAGATAAAATACCCCTGGAAGTCACTGTAACATTGCGCCTTAATATAAAGTTCATTTCTGTCACTGCTGTGAACTGACCATCGCATAGATTATGAATAAAAATAACCATCTTCATGAGTCAGCTCAGCAACAGGCTTAAACCAGCCACTGTACCCGCACAAACACACACATGGCAAAATATCATCTAATCATCATCGTCAACTAAATCTTTGAAAATATCGAGATATCATTTTTTTTTTTTGTCAATATTGCACACCTCTAATTGTACTTTTCCAGGTCTTAAAAAGTGCACTGTTATAACCCTGTTGTAAAGGTCAGAGTTCAGCGTTTCACTCGCCATGTTTCATTCCCGCAGGCAGGAGTCAAGGGCACTCTCGGAAGATCGCTCGGCGTTTTTGAGGTGAGCATTTTCTGATGGCAAACAACAGTCACAAAGAAACTGCCGATGGTGTCGAGAATAAAGTCCTGGTGTCTTGAGGATAATCTCATAGAAGGCATTTACAAGAATAAAGTTTTGAGAGTAGTAGTAATATTTAGTCAAGTTTTAGAAGTAAAAATGTCGAAAATAATGTTGCAGAATTATAGATTTGTATTATAATTAGGGCTGCAACAACTAATGGATAATTAAATCAACAACAGATTTGATTATCGATTAATCCTGTCTGCAAAACGTAAAACATCACTCACAGTTATTCACAGTAGTGAAACTGAACATCTGAAAGACGCTCCGCCCCGATTTATTGCTCAGATCTGATCTCTTTGAATAGAAATTCAGTTTTTTCTACTCTGACAAATATTTCTTGTTAGACATTAAAAGTAGGTTTCAAATTCTACATGTAAAACAAGCACTAGTACTTATATGATGGCAGTAAAAGTGCTATTTTAATCCAGTATAAACGTAAAATGATAACTGTTTCGATCGACATGTTACATTTAGTCGATCTAAGTTTGTTTTGGTTTATCATTTTTTTAATTTTGTTATTTTAAGTCCTGCTTTAAATTGGTAAGCGATTAGTAATTGATTTTTTGGTTTGAATGTTAAGGTTTACATTTGAACACCTTTTTTACACATAATGTATAGCGTGGCCTACATCTATACATTCGATATACTTTCATTGCCTTTAAATTGCACATTGTTTGAAGGACACCATTGGGCAGGATGTGGAATAAATATAAATTAAAATGTTAGATTTTTTAATAATTTGTAATTATTGGGTTTTTCATCTAATGGATTGCAGAATTAATGACCAGATTAATTGATTAACAAACATTAGTTGAAGCTCTAATATTAATATGTCAGTAAAACACTTGCAGTATTTTCTGTGAGGCGTAACTTGTGCTGAAATGAGTTGTTTCTCTGCACAGAACCGAGACCGAAAGCACAGAACGCACGTCTACGTTCTCATCGTGACTGAGGTTATGGACGACTGGGAGGACTCCGTGAATATTGGTAAGATTGAGACACACTAGTAGGTTAGCTTGTGCCACAGTTATGCTGCGTTTACTGAGCCACCGTAATTACCCGTTCCAGTTAGTAGAATCCCCCAAAATCTGTTCTTGTTGGTCAAAACCGTAGTTATATAATTTAGTTAGAAAGTGGCAGCAACCTTATTTAGGTTGAATTTAGATAAGTGCTGTCAACGTTAAAGGAGTAGTTCACTTCAGAATTAAAATGTCCTGATAATTTACTCTCTCCCACGTCATCCAAGATATTCACGTCTTTCTTTCGTCAGTCGAAAAGAAGGTTTGAGGAAAACATTTCAGGATTTTTCTCCATATAGTGACTTCAACGGTCTGAAGGTCCAGATGTGAGTTTCAGTGCAGCTTCAAAGTCTCGACACGATCCCAGCCGAGGAATAAGAGTCTTATCTAGACAAACCAGCGGCCATTTTCTTAAAAAATAAAAAACATTTATATACTTCTTAACCACAAATGTTCATCTTGCACCAGCTGTGATGCGCCACACATTACGTGATCACGCTGAAAGGTCACGCGGGACGTAGGCGGAAGAACCGACCTAGTGTTTACCAATCTCACGGTCGAATCTTCGCAGATGTGTTATTAAACGAGGACCATGTCATTTTGGCTATATGAGTGTGTCAATGTCTGATTTCACATAGAACTACCGGTTTTCTGTCAATACGTTAATATACAGCCTATTATGATAATGCTGTCAATAAAAATGTGCAAAGAAAGAAGCTTTTAATAAATATTTTTTAACGTGCGTGCAGCGTGAATAAATCCAAACACCCCGTGACAGATTTAAGTTTCACTTTCGATCCATGACCGACAGAGGAGCGTCTTGTCGGCAGGGATTTAAATCTTTAAAAATGTCTGGGATAAGAAAATCTAAAGATGCACACCATCAGAGAGGATATTCTCCAAGGCTGGATTTAGCATCAGGAAAGCCATGATCGCACTTCTGCCGGCCAACGTTAACAGGCTGGTTTTCCTCGGGACTTTCTAAAACGCTTATCGTGAAAAAAGCTTTTAAAACGCTTAAATGGCACTTTTACGTGCTTAATGTATGTACACAGTAGGCTACACACCTTAAGAAATCATTCCATGTGCAGATAAGCAGATGAACCCAGAATATGAACGCAACGCGTTTCTCCTATAGAAAGTCACGTAAAGCTTTTTCTTTAACGGTTTTCTATGGGAGGAAAATGCTTAACGTAGCCTATAATAAAACGCGTTGCGTTCATATTCTGGGCTCATCTGCTTTTCTGTAGGCTATATAGTAGGCTATGCTTTATTAATAAGGTGTGTACAGAATTTGATCTTTTAATATAACAGTTTTAGGACAAAGCCGTTAAGCGTTTTTCACGTTAAGCGTTTTTAGAATGTATTTTATCCGCGCACACAATGTGAAAAGACTCAAACGGACACAGGCCGAGTGAAAGACTGGATTTAGTTTTTTTGATCAGGTATGGGTACAAGTGATTCAAAACATTTCAGCCGGTTCTAATTTGGACGGATGAATTTGGTTCTAAAATAAACACGTTTAGCTAAAAAGACTGCCGCTCCAGTGTAGCGTTTATTGTTGTTTCTGCAGTTAAAAAGACAAAGTTGACTATCCTGGCCATACTTTCGTTATTTTAATAATTTCTTTATTTTAATTTTATTAATATATCACTCAGGGTGATCTAATTTAACTATTTGTGACTTGTGTTTTGAATATTTGTTCCCCTGCACTTTAGGCATTTTGCACACATTTGTTCTGCTTCTTGTGACTTGATTCTGACTTATTTCGTTTTGTATTTTTATTAATTATAAATGTATATTGTGTTCTTAATTGTTGATTATTTTTCAGTGCATCGATGTTGCGCTGTAGGCTTACTTAGAGCATGCTCGTACAGGCAATTCAGCCGATTTAATTTGATGTGAAATGCAAATCCTATCTGCAGTGTGGCCTTTCTGCAGTTATTTATGTTATTTCTTAGTTTTATTGATCCAAAATGTTTTTATACATTTTCTTCTACCTCTGTGTGTGATGTTCTGTACATCGCGGCTTTAAAATGTTAAAGCCCCGCCCCCTCCCCAACACCACACACATGATTCGACTATTAGTCGACTATAGGCAGGACTTGACGAATCTGATTCGACTATGAAAATCCCTAGTCGGGGACACCCCTAGTGTTTACAAAGCGAACGTGCAAAGACTAAGTCAAATGCTATTTACAAAAAAAGGTAAAACAACGTTGAAGTTGGAGGAGAGTTTTTCGCCGTACTCTACATTTCTGAACCGCAACACACGCGACCTTGTAATGTGTGGCACATCACAGCTGGTGCAAGAAGAGCATTTGTGTTAATAAGTATATAAATGTTTATTATTTTTTTTAGAAAATGACAGATCGTTTGGCTATTTAAGTTATTAATAAGACTCTTATTCCTCGGCTGGGGTCGTGTCGAGACTTTGAAGCTGCACTGAAACTCACATTTGGACCTTCGACCCGTTGATACCCGTTGAAGTCACTATATGGAGAAGTATCCTGGAATGTTGTCCTCAAACCTTAATTTCTTTGCGGCTGAAGAAAGATAGACATGAATATCTCGGATGTCGTGGGGGAGAGTAAATTTTTGGGGAATTTTTTTTTTCTGTCATCCTTTGCCTAGCGTTACATTACACGATCACGCTCTTCTTCATGCTAATGCTTTTAAACCATTCAAGCACGACGAGACAAAGAGAACGTCCTGACACACACACACAACGCACAGAAAGAGGCGCGCCAGTATCAAGTTCTCTATCGCGCTTGAACAAACAATAACACACAATTATGCCAAAAGGCCCATTTTGTCGAGTATCCTCATAAGAGCCGTCTTAGGCTACGTTCACACTGCAGGCTGAAACGACCCAATTCCGACCTGTATCTGATCCTTTCATGACAGTCTGAACGAAACAGATCCGATCTTTTCAAATGCGACCCAGGCCACTTGGGTATGTGGTCCAAATCCGATATGTATCCGATCTTTTGAAATGCGACTTCAATCTGAACGGCCAGGTCACATGTATCCGACCCGCACGTCATTGATATGCGACAAACGTCATAATTCTGCGTTGAAGTAGGCGGGAATTGACCGTTGAGTACTCTTCTGCGCATGGGTCTGCAGTGTGAACGCAGCCTTAAATGAACACAGAGAAAAGGGGATGTGTGTGAGATCCGCGTCTCTGTCAGCTGGTCTTAAAGTGACAGCAGCCACTAATGCTGTCTGTCATTAATGTCAATCAAAGAACAAAGCTAACAGAGAAATACTCACCGCTCTTCACTAAAGAACGTTTGTAGCTTTAATGAGGATTCATCTATATATAATTGATAGTTTATGTGGTGCAGACTGATTGATAACTTTATTCAATTTCTGTATTTTCTACCTGTTAGGTTGGATGGGCACAGGTAAATATGACATTTATTATGGGTTTATGTGAGGATTGTTTGAAGTTCACTTACATTAAAAGTATGGCTGTCAAATGATTAATCGCGATTAATCGCATCCAAAATAAAAGTTTGTGTTTACATAATATATCTGTGTGTAGTGTGTATAATTATTTTGTATATATAAATACACACACATGCATGTATATATTTAAGAAATATTTGCATGTATATATTGTATATATATTTATACATAATTAATATTATATATAAATATTCTATATATTAATAACACATTTTTCTTAAATATATACATGCATGTGTGTGTATTTATATATACAAAATAATTATACACACTACACACACATATATTATGTAAACACAAACTTTTATTTTGGATGCGATTAATCGCGATTAATCATTTGACAGCCCTAATTAAAAGTTATATTTTTTAAAGTCTAATAAAAAGTTATAGCTTTCATAGGGGGGTCTATTTCATGAGACATCAGTATCTGTATGAGTATCAGTGAAACTGGCCTTCATTCATAAAACAATGCCGTTACTCAAGTGTTTAAAATATACTGTCTTTATGTTGTTTCTACATTAATTTGGAGATTATCTGAAATTCTTACATTATCAAATATTTTAAAAACTGATTAAACAGAAAAAATGTGTAATTAATCTTGTTATTTATTTTTTCATCGATTGACAGCTCTAATTTACATATAACCAAGTTTGCAATGTGACCTGGTGCGGATTTATACATGTATTGATAGAAACACATTAGTGAACATGATCGGCTCCGAGCACAATCTCAAAGTCGTCGTCTACTTCCAGACACACACCGTGAATGCAGATTGTGTGTTGTGTTTTGTCCACAGGCAGGAAAAGGGAGTGGTTTAAGACTGAAGAGGCCCGGCGTGTGCTGCAGTGTCACAAACCTGTGCAAGCCTCTTACTTCCAGGCCCTTCAGCAGGACTGTGTGTCCAGCAACGGCACATACAACATCCACCAACACACTCTCTCCAGCAGCAGATAACCTGCAGGATCGTCCCCTTTTCTACCTTTTCTTACCCGACCGAACCACTATCACTGTTTTTTTTCATTTCAGCACATTAATGACAACATTGAATGAGATCTGATTGCATTTTACCAGCCTTTTTAGTGTTCAGATACAGATTAGAGTCTGGGGGTGTGTGAGATAAGAGAAAGGTCGAAGAATAGTTTGCAAATGAAAGTTTGTCTTGTGTTTTAATGAATGCTCACATGAGATTCTCATTTCCTAACGTCAGGTTTATAGAGTGCAACTACACTATTGTGTCTTGAGTGGTGTTTAAAGAGAAAGCTGTCAGAAGTGTTCATGATGATGATGATGTTTTGTGGCCCTTTGGTTCTGCTGTTATATAGAGTTGGTTGAGTTATTTGCATGAGCATGTCACACATTAATGATCTTAAAATGCAGGGAGCCACAATGATGGACGGGGCCATTCGACGTTTGTTTAGTGGTGAAGTCGCATATTCATAGTTTTAGTTCTTGGGTAACAAAATGGGTATCATGTCTTAAATTGATCAAAAGGAGTTGAAATCGGCCAATAACACACACTCGTGTCGGGAAATCGCACAAACGTAGGTACTGTCAGAGTCGTTTTCAAAAAAAAAACACGTTTTGCAAAATGTTCTAATGTTGATGGGGTTTAGTGGTTAGTAGACCACCACTTTTACCATCGAAGGAGATTTTGATAGAAATTGTGGGGATTTTTCTGAGTCTGCAATCCTAGATTTACTGGTGAAAACTAATTAGTTCAGTGGCTTCATGTGATGCTGGTCGGTCCAGTTCACTGAGTGCACTTGTTTTGTTGTGGTACAGGATTGTATTTAAGAGAGAAGAAGCTGTGGAAGGACGTTCAGAGATTGGGTTAAGGTGAAATGAGCCTGTTTGGGACATCAGTGGCATAAATCTCGTGCGCTGGACCTCTTCAGCGACCGCTGATGTTCTTCCTCTCTCTTCTGAGGGCTTTGCACCCGTAATCATAGCACAATAGCAACAATTTACAAATGTCTCGGTTATTTCAGTTTTAGTTGTAATAATTTCAAATTAATGTTTGTCCACTCATAAACTATAACCATAGAGTGAGTGTGTGTGTGTGTGTACAGTATGTGGGTTTGTATGTTTGAAATAATGTGAATTGTCGAAAGACTTGATGCCAAGGTTAGCTGTCTGTCTAATGAATTGCCTCTCGTAAGGAGATGGGCTCTGTTTGAAATGTTTACAACTTGATTGTAGTTTCTCTTCAGACACTGGATATTCACTGACCTCTTTTCATTTGTTGTTGATGACTGTTAATAATGGTGTCATTTCATTTTTAAAAGGCGCCTTTCTTGGTCTTAAACTATTTAATCTGTCCTAATTATAGTTTTTTTTTGTTTTGTTTCTGATTCATATATTTTTCACAAACATGTACTTCAAATGAGAATTGTTTAGGTCTCAAGTGAACTTGTCTTATCAGCATTTCAATGTATTTTTTAATTGAATTTTGAATTATTAATTGGAAAGCTAAAAATATATTGTTTTGCTATAAGATTAGTTCACTAAACCCAATCCAAAGTTGGTCCTCCAATGTGTGGAAAAAATCTTATTTCAATAGTGATCAATGTGATTTCAATAGTTAAACCTGTGGCACAACAACAGCACATTTAAAGGTGCAGTAAGTGATTTAAACACTGTTGATATTTGACGTCAAGCCAAACAAACACACACCCCTCCCTTCATTGCTCACTCTCCTCCCTCATCCTGAGTGGACACGCCCTCAATGCTAATTGGCTCACTCTCCTCCCTCATCCTGAGTGGACACGCCCCTAATGCTAATTCGCTCACTCTAACCCTCCCCCATCATGAGTGGACATGCCCCACAATGCTAATTCGCTCGCTCACTCTAACCCCTCCCCCATCATGAGTGGACATGCCCCCTAATGCTGATTCGCTCGCTCACTCTAACCCCTCCCCCATCATGAGTGGACACGCCCCCTAATGCTGATTCGCTCGCTCACTCTAACCCCTCCCCCATCATGAGTGGACACGCCCCCTAATGCTGATTCGCTCGCTCACTCTAACCCCTCCCCCATCATGAGTGGACATGCCCCCTAATGCTGATTCGCTCGCTCACTCTAACCCCTCCCCCATCATGAGTGGACACGCCCCCTAATGCTGATTCGCTCGCTCACTCTAACCCCTCCCCCATCATGAGTGGACACGCCCCCAATGCTGATTCGCTCGCTCACTCTAACCCCTCCCCCATCATGAGTGGACACGCCCATAATGCTGATTTGCTCGCTCACTCTAACCCCTCCCCCATCATGAGTGGACACGCCCCCTAATGCTGATTGGCTCGCTCACTCTAACCCCTCCACCATCATGAGTGGACACGCCCCCTAATGCTGATTGGCTCGCTCACTCTAACCCCTCCCCCATCATGAGTGGACACGCCCCCTAATGCTGATTCGCTCGCTCACTCTAACCCCTCTCCCATCATGAGTGGACACGCCCCCTAATGCTGATTGGCTTGCTCACTCTAACCCCTCCCCCATCATGAGTGGACACGCCCCCAATGCTGATTGGCTCGCTCACTCTAACCCCTCCACCATCATGAGTGGACACGCCCCCAATGCTGATTCGCTCGCTCACTCTAACCCCTCCACCATCATGAGTGGACACGCCCCCTAATGCTGATTGGCTACACGTTTGTTGTGCTGCTCGGTTTGATCCACTTTCAACCGTGTTTCTCAGAAATCGTTCACTGCACCTTTACCAGCTGTGGCAGAGACTGGTGATGACCATCTAAAGATTTATGATTAATATGATCTTTCTCATGTATTGCAATCATTAGTGGAATGTGAATAAGCAATGAACAAAACACTCTTTGTACTGAAATTATGCCAGATTTGTTCCTGAATTGTAAATGCTGCATTGTTTGAAAAAAAGTTTTTACACCTATTCAATTTTTGTTTAGTAGAGAGAGATTTGTTTTTGTGTAAACATCGAAAACATTTCAAGAATCTCAAAATCTTTCCTCAGTCCTTTGTATTTCCTTTTGTAACATTTCAAGCACATGGTTTACCCTGTATCGCTCTGCTGTATCTGATATTGGGAAAAGAAAATTCGACTGTATAACAGTTGTGTCAACAATCTATTAATAAAACATAAATGCTACATGCATATCATGAATCACCGGTGCAGTTGTTACAGTTTCTTGTTGGCTCGGTTTGCTTCACAAGGCAACATTTCTCAACGGACCAAATTTACAAGTCACGTGTAAGTAGACTGTCCTCTCTATCTATCTATCTATCTATCTATCTATCTATCTATCTATCTATCTATCTATCTATCTATCTATCTATCTATCTATCTATCTATCTATCTATCTATCTATCTATCTATCTATCTATCTATCTATCTATCACAGTAGTCATGAATTTTGAAATACCTGTTCTTGTCTTAGGAAAACTTTGATGAACTTTTTTGATTAACTTGAAATGTTGACTACTGTATAAATTGTGTATATCAGTGGCGGCTGGTGACCAATATTGTAGGTGGGGCTGTCTGTGCCGGGGGGTCTGGGTGTCCGCCAGAAAATTTTGAATTTCGTAGAAGTGATTTCCTGCACTTTAGGCCTTAGGCCATGCCCCTTGCCTATACCATTAACAGAACCAGTCAATACCAATGGTCTAAAAATACAATATTAATTGAACTGCCATGTAGAAATCAACAGTTTCACAGGTAATCATAATGAACAAGTTGATGTTTATTATGTTCCGTGTCCAGATAGAAAAAGTGCAAACGCATAACAATAAATTATAATAGGGAATACAACAATCTAGTTCTTTAATCAATCCCCAGCTGTAGACTACATATCTTTAAAGTTCACTGTAGACAAATTGACAATTGGATAATGGATAACAGTCTGTGTTGATACTAGAGAGAGAGAGAGAGCTCTCAAATAGAGGGTGGACAACATTCTTGAAGTGAACACCAAGTATGAGAAGAAAGATGATTTTAACAAACTAGTATGAAACACAGTAATCCCGCTCAGAACTTAAAAAAATAAAAAAATAAAAATGCAAAGATACAGTTACATTCCTATTAAGATAACTATTTCAATGGCAAATGTGTGAAACATGGTGTGTACAGAGTGGTGTGTATAGAGTGACAGAGACAGCCAATAAAGCTTATTGAATTGAGATAGCAGGTGTGTGTGAGTGAGAGAGAGAGAGAGAGAGAGAGAGACAGCGAGTGTGTGTGTGTGTGTGTGGTTCAAAGTGAGTGAGTTGGAGAGATAGATGGAGGGTGAGTGTGTGTGAGAGAGGGAGAAAGAGAGTAAAGAGTAGAGAGAGACAATATGGTGTCTGTGACAGTTAGATTTGTGTTTATGAGAGGGGTAGATGGAGTGTGTGTGTATGAGAGGTAGATGGAGTGTGTGTGTGTGTGTGTGTGTGTGTGTGTGTGTGTGTATGAGAGGGGTAGATGGAGTGAATGTGTGTGTATAAGAGGGGTAGATGGAGTGTGTGTGTGTGTGTGTGTGTGTGTATGAGAGGTAGATGGAGTGAATGTGTGTGTATAAGAGAGGTAGATGGAGTGTGTGTGTGTGTGTGTGTATGAGAGGGGTAGATGGAGTGAATGTGTGTGTATAAGAGGGGTAGATGGAGTGTGTGTGTGTGTGTGTGTGTGTGTGTGTGTGTGTGTGAGGTATGGAGTGTGTGTGTGTGTATGAGAGGGGTAGATGGAGTGTGTGTGTGTGTGTGTGTGTGTGTGTATGTGTGTATGAGAGGTAGATGGAGTGAATGTGTGTATGAGAGGGGTAGATGGAGTTAATGTGTGTGTATGAGGGGTAGATGGAGTGTGTGTGTGTATGAGAGGTAGATGGAGTGAATGTGTGTATGAGAGGGGTAGATGGAGTGTGTGTGTGTGTGTGTGTGTGTGTGTATGAGAGGTAGATGGAGTGAGTGTGTGTGTATGAGAGGTAGATGGAGTGTGTGTGTGTGTGTGTGTGTGTATGAGAGGGGTAGATGGAGTGAATGTGTGTGTATAAGAGGGGTAGATGGAGTGTGTGTGTGTGTATGAGAGGTAGATGGAGTGAATGTGTGTATGAGAGGGGTAGATGGAGTGTGTGTGTGTGTATGAGAGGTAGATGGAGTGAATGTGTGTATGAGAGGGGTAGATGGAGTGTGTGTGTGTGTGTGTGAGAGGGGTAGATGGAGTTAATGTGTGTGTATGAGAGGGGTAGATGGAGTGTGTGTGTGTGTATGAGAGGTAGATGGAGTGAATGTGTGTATGAGAGGGGTAGATGGAGTGTGTGTGTGTGTGTGTGTGTATGAGAGGGGTAGATGGAGTGTGTGTGTGTGTGTGTGTGTGTATGAGAGGGGTAGATGGAGTGTGTGTGTGTGTATGAGAGGTAGATGGAGTGTGTGTGTGTGTGTGTGTATGAGAGGGGTAGATGGAGTGTGTGTGTGTGTATGAGAGGTAGATGGAGTGAATGTGTGTATGAGAGGGGTAGATGGAGTGTGTGTGTGTGTATGAGAGGTAGATGGAGTGAATGTGTGTATGAGAGGGGTAGATGGAGTGTGTGTGTGTGTGTGTGTGTGTGTGTGTGTGTGTGTGTGTGTGTGTGTGTGTGTGTGTGTGTGTGTGTGTGTGTGTGTGTGTGTGTGTGTGTGTGTGTGTGTGTGTGTGTGTGTGTGTGTGTGTGTGAGAGAGAGGGGTAGATGGAGTGTGTGTGTGTGTGTGTGTGTGTGTGTGAGAGGGGTAGATGGAGTTAATGTGTGTGTATGAGAGGGGTAGATGGAGTGTGTGTGTGTGTATGAGAGGGGTATATGGAGTGTGTGTGTGTGTGTGTGTCTGTGTGTGAGGGGTAGATGGAGTGTGTGTGTGTGTGTGTGTGTGTGTGTGTGTGTGTGTGTGTGTGTGAGAGGGGTAGATGGAGTGTGTGTGTGTGTGTGTGTGTGTGTGTATGAGAGGTAGATGGAGTGTGTGTGTGTGAGGGGTAGATGGAGTGAATGTGTGTGTATGAGAGGGGTAGATGGAGTGTGTGTGTGTGTGTGTGTGTGTGTGTATGAGAGGTAGATGGAGTGAATGTGTGTGTTTGAGAGGGGTAGATGGAGTGTGTGTGTGTGTGTGTGTGTGTGTGTGTGTGTGTGAGGGGTAGATGGAGTGTGTGTGTGTGTGTGATGTGTGAGAGGGGTAGATGGAGTGAATGTGTGTGTATGAGAGGGGTAGATGGTGTGTGTGTGTGTGTGTGTGAGAGGGGTAGATGGAGTTAATGTGTGTGTATGAGAGGGGTAGATGGAGTGTGTGTGTGTGTGTATGAGAGGGGTATATGGAGTGTGTGTGTGTGTGTGTGTGTGTGTGTGTGTGTGTGTGTGTGTGTGTGTGTGTGTGAGGGGTAGATGGAGTGTGTGTGTGTGTGATGTGTGAGAGGGGTAGATGGAGTGTGTGTGTGTGTGTGTGTGATGGGTAGATGGAGTGTGTGTGTGTGTGTGAGAGGGGTAGATGGAGTGTGTGTGTGTGTGTGTGTGAGAGGTAGATGGAGTGAATGTGTGTGTATGAGAGGGGTAGATGGAGTGTGTGTGTGTGTGTGTGTGTGTGATGGGTAGATGGAGTGTGTGTGTGTGTGTGAGAGGGGTAGATGGAGTGTGTGTGTGTGTGTGTGTGTGTGTGTGTGTGTGAGAGGGGTAGATGGAGTGAATGTGTGTGTATGAGAGGGGTAGATGGAGTGTGTGTGTGTGTGTGTGTGTGTGTGTGTGTGAGGGGTAGATGGAGTGTGTGTGTGTGTGTGTGTGTGTGAGAGGGGTAGATCGAGTGAATGTGTGTGTATGAGAGGGGTAGATGGTGTGTGTGTGTGTGTGTGTGTGAGAGGGGTAGATGGAGTTATGTGTGTGTATGAGAGGGGTAGATGGAGTGTGTGTGTGTGTATGAGAGGGGTATATGGAGTGTGTGTGTGTGTGTGTGTGTGAGGGGTAGATGGAGTGTGTGTGTGTGTGTGAGAGAGGGGTAGATGGAGTGTGTGTGTGTGTATGAGAGGGGTATATGGAGTGTGTGTGTGTGTGTATGAGAGGGGTAGATGGAGTGTGTGTGTGTGTGTGTGTGTGTGTGATGGGTAGATGGAGTGTGTGTGTGTGTGTGAGAGGGGTAGATGGAGTGTGTGTGTGTGTGTGTGTGTGTGTGTGTGTGTGTGTGTGTGTGTGTGTAGAGGGGTAGATGGAGTGAATGTGTGTGTATGAGAGGGGTAGATGGAGTGTGTGTGTGTGTGTGTGTGTGTGTGTGTGTGTGTGAGGGGTAGATGGAGTGTGTGTGTGTGTGTGTGTGTGAGAGGGGTAGATCGAGTGAATGTGTGTGTATGAGAGGGGTAGATGGTGTGTGTGTGTGTGTGTGTGAGAGAGGGGTAGATGGAGTTATGTGTGTGTATGAGAGGGGTAGATGGAGTGTGTGTGTGTGTATGAGAGGGGTATATGGAGTGTGTGTGTGTGTGTGTGTGAGGGGTAGATGGAGTGTGTGTGTGTGTGTGAGAGAGGGGTAGATGGAGTGTGTGTGTGTGTATGAGAGGGGTATATGGAGTGTGTGTGTGTGTGTATGAGAGGGGTAGATGGAGTGTGTGTGTGTGTGTGAGAGAGGGGTAGATGGAGTGAATGTGTGTGTATGAGAGGCAGGGCCGTGCACAGACATTTTGAGGGGCAGTGGCCTAAACCAAAAAGTTGAGCGAAGGGGATGGAGAACTCTTATTTGTACAGGAACTTTGCTCGTCTATCTTTCTGAGTGGCAAATCTCTCAATGACCCTTGTGTTGAAATCTGGAATGTCCCGTGCGAGTGTTTTCTCTATAGAAAGCATAGCATAACACATGCCATAGTGTTCCTGAGGAAAGCTGTTATCCTCTTTAAAGTAGAGAAGCACCTCTCTGATTCTGCTGTTGGCATTGGTGTGGTGATGAGGATCTTGAGAAGACTTACAGTTTCGATGAATGCGTCTTGAAGGTTATTTTCCATTGGGAACCACCCAGCCCAGCCGTAAGCCTGAGTCTCCATTATACGAAAGGATCATGTTTGTTCTTGTATCAAATGCTCCGTCTATTTAA